TATTGTAACATGTTGCAGCTACTATATACGAATGGATGATATTGATTGGTGTTCCCTGATTGTGTTGCATGATTCAAGATCCATGTTTTAGCCAACAACAACTGATAAGCAGATTGACCAAGTGCTTCCGGTATGGAGGAGAAAAACAATATGTCTCTCCTGTGTGCTGGTAACGTCCAAAGGTTTCAGAATCAAGCGAAACCATGCCTGTGCCTGCTAATGTGCGACCCCAGATTCTGCCTATGCAAAATTGTCAGAACCAATATCAAGCACAAGTACAAGCGAATTGTGATGAAATGGAGCTGATTCATGTAAGTTTTGCTTCTCCCCTTTGCATATGTGTCCACATGGTGTTTTGTATGCGAAAACTTCAAATCAATGGATTTCTCGAATGATTTTGTCACCTACGTCCACATATCTCCACATAGATCCACATGGTGTTTTGCACACTTTGTCTGTGCTGTTGTTGCTGTTGCTGTTGTTGTTGTTGTTGTTGTTGTTGTTGCTGTGGCTGTGGCGGCTTACACCGGCAGATCGACAGACAAGCTCCGATAAACCAACCAACCGCCATAATGTCATTGCAAGTCCTCCCTGACAGCTTCAGGTGGCCCAAACTAGCAAGGGAAAGGGACCGAAGCAGAAATCAAACAAAAAGCCAAAGGGAAAGGTGAGCCCCAAGATGATACTAGCCTTTATCCCAGCAAAGCACCAACTGCGCGCGCAGGTAGGAAACCAGGTGCCCTTCATCGGAGACCCGACTGGCAACGGCATCAAACCCGGTAAAATACCAATGACTGACCCGAAGCACAACACCCGAACTCAGTGTAACAATCCCAGCAACCCCCCGCCCGACAGAATCTCGTTGTATGTGAAATCAGTGACCGTGAATATCCTTACGGACTGCAATGGCCACCCCAACCGCCCACACGTGTTCAAGGTCTGCATATCGGCCCAGGTCCTGGCTACGAATTGGGCCAATTAGGAGCTCCATGCGAGGCAGCTAAGAAACCAGAGTCCCAGAGGCCGCGTATAGCTTGCACATGATTGTCATCCCCGCGGATCCGTGTTTCCGACCCCATAGGTATCGATCCCGACCAACGCCACCGCACTGAACAGCTGCAATCCGAGCAGCCTGAGACTCTTTCCAACTCACTGCGATGCCACACACCCACCAGAAAAAGAAGGGATCAAGTGATGTTGCCCCACTGCAAGATAAAGCCGATCAGAAGGAACATCCCCATCGGCCTCGTCCACCGACGACTCAGAGTCCGACCCATCCACGCCGCCGACAGGGCGTGACACGGGCGGGCAGATGCCCAACACCACGTGGACGCGGCGAGCCGAAGCCGCACGAAACGAGCCGAAGCCCCAACACAGGGGAGGGCAGCAGAGAACCCAAAATACCAAGCACACGAAACCACAAAAACAACCCAACCAGAAGGGGAGAAGAAGAAAGGAAAACAAAAGCAACACAAAGGAAACAAAACGAAACAAAAACAAGGAAGGCAAAGGAAAGCACGGGAACAGAGAGGGAGAAAAGAAGAAAAGACGCGCGCACCGGCCAGCCCAGGGAAGAAGCGGAAATGAAAGCATGGTAGCCTGGGCCAATCACAGAAATGGTACAGGTAAACCAAGAAATCCCATCAACGGCAACGTGCGACAGGGCCCAGCCAGAGCCCCAGTAGCGGCAGGCACAGCAGCAGCAGCAGCAGCAGCAGCAACCCAGTTGGAGAAAGAGGGCACTGTCACACTTACGCCGACTTCGAGGAGCAGGTAAAGGAGGTGCTCATCGGGAGCCAACCCTTAGTGCCGCCCCCGGGGTCCTCCCAACCCAAGCAACCCCCCAAGTCCAATGGCGCAAGTCCAGGGGGTTTGCACACTTTCATTAGCCGAAAACATAGCTTTGATGCATCAGCTATAGCACTTCCAAATGTAGAGTCCACGTGGTGCTTCGCCTTGTCTTCCACTGACTACACTGACTTCCTGAATGCGGTGCGTCCCATGCGGTTTGTATGTTGTTTTGGAGACTGCACTGACTTTCACGTCTGGGTCTACGCTGCCCCTTACAACGTTGGTGTCAGTCCTCACATTCAATTAAACTAACAAAATGGCCCAACTTGCTGCATTCTGCCAAGGATAATCTGATTTTGAAATGTGTGCCATTAGTAAAATCATAGGTTAGTTGCTATTACTACTTTTCATAGAAATTAATGTTGCTAGTCGTCATATTTCATAATCAGTATAAATGGCCTTGCCGAGCGGCTTTGTTGAAGCTGGTAGAGCATGCTGTTCGGTGTTGGCAGGCCAACAGATGCTGTTGTCGAGGCGTGGCTGTGAGTGTCGGGAGAAGGAAAGGCGCCACAAGATCAGCAAAGTTCCAAGGTTTTTGCAACCTTAATGGTTGCTGCCACTGAAAGATTAACGGGCTTAGGCTTAGGCAACCTGGATGCCAACAAATATTTGCAAATGTTGTTAGAGAACGTAAGCTTGGACGGTAAAGTGTCTGATTGTTTGCCTGGGAGCTTTCTGTTCTGCAAATAGGCGCCAGCCCGGCGGAGTCTGCAAGCTCCGGCATTCGAAGCCTTGGTGGCTTGGCAAGTTCGATGCTTCTCAGGTTTTTCCTTCATTCCATTCTTCACCCTTATGTCGATCTGTCCATCCCTGGCCCTGATGATTCATGTTCCTGCCGGTCATGTCGTTCCTGTTCATGCTTGCACCCCATTCATGTCTCTGGGTCGTTCTGTTCATCCATCCTTTTGCCATTCAGACGTAAAATTTTGCCGTCGTCATCATCATCATCAAGAACAGGAAAATAGTCGTTCCCACCACCATTGTCACCACAACCATTCTTTACACAGTTTTATTCATTTATCCAGTGGCTCAAGCATTCATTCATCCACCCATCCCTTTATCCATTTGTTCAGCCGTGCATTCAGTCAACTTGTTTGCTCATACAACCCATCAGTCACAATCAGTCCTTGCTGTGGATATTTCAAGTTGTTTTCTTCTGGATTTGCTTTGTTTCACCTGATTCCTTTCATTCATTCCACGCGAGGCTTTTGATTGTGTTCGGTCAAAGAGTCCTTCCAGTCAGTTGAAATCCAATCGATCTTTTTATTTAGATTCTTCATGGATGGGAGGATCCTTCCGCTGGGCTGGACTCACAAAAGCCCATTGTGCATTCATACATATACCTACCTACCTATCTATCTATCTATCTATCTACCTACCTACCTACCTATACCTACCTACCTGTACCTACCTATACATACCTATATACCTACATACATACAGTCATACATGCCTGCATGCATGCATGCAATTGTACGTCCCGCCGTTGGTTCATGTTGGTTTTGTATTTCGTTTGTTTTTCATTTTTTCCGGTGATAATTCTTGCAGTCATTCATCCGAATATTGATGTGTTTATCGCTCTCATCCAGTCGTGTGTTTTGTTTATGTCTGATTTCATAAACAATACCACGGTCACCCATCCAATCTCTCAGTTTTCACGGTTTGTGCTTCAATTGTTGTAGATGTTGTTGTTGTTGTTGTTGTTGTTGTTGCTGCTGCTGCTGTTGTTGTTGTTGTTGTCGTTGTCGTTGTCGTTGTCGTTGTCGTCGTCGTCGTCGTCGTTGTTGTTGTTGGATTGTTGATTGTTGTTGGATTGTTGGTTGTTGTTGGATTGTTGATTGTTGATTGTTGTTTGTTCTTTGTTGTTTGTTGTTTGTTTGTTGTTTGTTGTTTGTTGTTTGTTGGTTGTTGGTTGTTGTTTGTTGTTTGTTGGTTGTTGGTTGTTGGTTGTTGTGGTTGTTGTGGTTGTTGTGGTGGTTGTGGTTGTGGTTGTGGGTGTGGGTGTGGTTGTGGTTGTGGTTGTGGTTGTTGTTGTTGTTGCTGTTGCTGTTGCTGTTGCTGTTGCTGTTGTTGTTGTTGTTGCTGTTGTTGTTTGATTGTTGTTTATTGTTTGTTGTTTGTTGTTTGTTGTTTGTTGTTTGTTGTTTGCTGTTGTTTTTTGTTTTTGTTTTTGTTTTTTGTGTTCGTTGTGCGTTGTTCGTTGTTCGTTGTTCATTTTTTGTTATTGTTGTTGACGTTGGAAATCATGTTCAACCCAATTGCTGCTCCTCAATAATGGACCTTCAGTTTCACATGCGCGCACTGATTGCCATACCCTCTGGTAATTTAACATAGCTATTGAAAATGGCCCATTTATAGTTGATATACCTTTTCAAAGTGGTGATTTTCCATAGCTATGTTAGTTTACCAGAGGGTACATGTTGTAAGGACATGGGCAAAGATGGTGTGGTTTCAATGGACGGCTAGTTCTGCAGTAGAGGGCGGCGGCAGCATGCAGCATGTTTGCTGCCAGTCAAAGGCAAGGAAACCTGGAACGGGTGGGGCCAGACACGTTCTGTGGAACAAACCCTGAAGCGTTGGCAAGCCCTGAAGTTGAACCCATTTGTGATATGGGGGTTTCCATAAATGCGGGATCCCGGAAATGGATAGTTTATAAGGGAAAATCTTACTAACATGAATGATTTGGGGGTACCCGGGTACCCTATTTTAGGAAACCCCCATATTGTATTTTTTGGGGGAGACGAAACCTGCACTACTGTTCAAGTGTTCTTCGCACGTGCAACGGTCTGCCAACGCCATATGTGCCGCCTGAAGTGTGGATTCTATTGCCAAATACAGCACTCAACAAATCCAACGAATACAGCAAGGCTTCGATTTTCACATGTGCAGAACAGCATGATAGTCATGGTACATTACAAACAAAACAAACTAATGCTTTCAGTTGTAGTCAGCTGTAGTCCCTATTGGTCTCCATATCATCCCGTCCCCCTAATAGTGAATACTTTCCAAACATGGACTCCGAAATGAATAGATCCCAATGTGCTAGGGTTCATTCCACCTGCACCAATTGGACATGTTCAGTGATGCAACAGGTGCTGCCACTTTGGCCGTGTGCCAGTTGCGGTTGAAAAATTGAGGGCAGCTGCGGCATGCGACTACCGCGTGCGACTGTCACCTGCAATGGAGTGTTTGTTCGACAATTGCTGAGTAAGGCGTCTTCAACACAAGTATATACACAAATCTATGCAGCAGGACACTCATATCAGGCGGATTGTAGTACATTGTAGGGCGTTGGAAATTTTATTGGTTTGTTCGGAACTGGCCGTATGGTTTTTAGATTTTTATGATGCCCATCGGAGTGGAATTTGGGATCCTTACCTTACCGGTCTTGGCACGACAGAGTATGCAGATTGTTTGCTTTCAAACAAGGAGAATTTACATGAATTTACAACAGTTCCCAATCTCTCAATCTCACTGCTGGTTGGTGGTTTGGAACTTTTTTCTTTTTTTATTTTTCCATATATTGGGAATAATCATCCCAACTAATATTTTTCAGAGGGGTCGGTCAACCACCAACCAGTCACTGCCTAGCTGAGTAGAGAATATGAGTTCCCCAGTCCGGATCCTGACTCTCAATGGTTGCATGGCTCAGCCCAGTGCTGGCAGCCATAGAAAAACCATCCGCCATGAATGTTCATGGCGGGTACCATTTCATTCAAATCCAATTTTGACCCAATTGTGCAAATGAAATGGCTAATCTCCCAATTGTAAACCATGATAAACATGTCTAAACCATTATTAAGAAATATAAGCAATCAACGTATCCCAATTGTGAGATAGATAATATAGATTGTCCTAACCAACACCCGTTTTATAGATTGTCGTCCTCTTATGTGGATTGTTATGAATTATACATGGATTTGATTTAGTTATCAATATAGATTTATAAGTCCCGTAAGCAACCATGATTTAGCTGAGGGTAGTTCCTCACATGTGACCCGCAGGCGCTGCATGTGGCGAGACAGCTCAGAAAGGCTGGTCAATCAGTGGATGTGGCGAGGCCCAGTGGATCTTGGAGTGCTTGGGCTTTGCCAATAAACAATACACGTGCATTTACATCATACAGTACATTCAACCATGATTTGTATATATATATATATTTATATATATAGAGATACATATAGTATGTATATTATATATATATATATTATTGTGTATATATATATATTATCACCACCTCTTTAAGGCTACTTTTAAGGGTGGGCCATACCAAAATGAAAGATACATTTTTGGGGACCCCCTCTTAAATGCAAAATTGGTCGCTGAACGTCCCCAGGTGTTGTTTTTGTGGGGAGGGTAGGTAAAATACCTTCATGTAAGTTTTTGCTTTTTTAAGGCCCCCCCGTCAAAAACACCTTGAACAATGTACCTTACATTTGGGTATGGTCCCACCCCGCGAAGAGGGTAGTGATCATATATTATACAGATTATACATATTAATCTGGTTTCACAACTAATGAGGAATGATGGCCAATTCTTTGACGGATGGAGAAAAAGGCCGTAGGAAATCCATCATGGGGGAGTCAACCTTCGGTCCTTCCGCCGGTTTTGTCTGAAAATAGGATACCTCTAAATCCAGTGGTTACCCTCTGGTAAACAAACATAGCTATTGAAAATAGACATTTCTTGTTGATTTACCATGATTTACCCATTAAAAATGGTGATTTTCCATAGTTGTGTTAGTTTACCAGAGGGTAATCACCATGATCCCTATTAGATATTTTAAAAAAAAAACATATTCAAGGATGCACGCCCAAACCAGACAACAACCTGTTTGTTGAGGTTGTGTAGGATCTTTTGACGTAAACGTATATAAACAATGTTCAGTGTTCTGCCCGAGTGACAAGCATGTTGATTGCTGGGAGGTCATGTTGATTGTGAATTAGCAACCACTCTCAGCAGCTGAATGTCAATCATACTTTGATGGTCCTTGAATTGTTAGTGAACCATTTAGACATAGCTTTGTTCAAACACAGGGCACCCGAAAATCTCATTGTTCAACTTGTTTTCTAATTTTGACACAATGAAAGTGACAAGTGAGGATATGTCGTCATTTTATGTCATTGTGTGATTCAAAGCGGTGTTCCATTTTTGGACAAACGTCGAAAAAAAGATGCGCTGATGTTTTTCCATTTAGGTCTTTTCAGAGGAGACCAAGAAGGTGCACAAGGCGTGGCTGGCGGTTGAACCAGCTGGCTGTGGATCAAAAGTCACGGATTTGTTTAAGAAAAATCCATAGGGGAAATATATACTGTTTTCCATATATTGGGAATATCATCATCCCAACTGACTTTCATATTTTTCAGAGGGGTAGGTATACCACCAACCTATATAGAGGGGTTTAATGAGTTTAAGCCTCAGTTGTTTAATGGGATGAAGTGGGATTTGCTGATGATTTGCCTTACTTTCCCGATGCCTATTTTTGGGGGGCCTCAAGCAAATCCCAGGACATCCACGCTTGACACCGGAGGGTATATCCATTAAAATCCCATAAATATTTCATTAGATCCCAGTATATCATATCAATGGATTGATTCATCCCCATGGATATTACCAACCAGGATCAATTGGGAATTGGGAATTGGAACTGTAGCTATATCATGCTATATCCATTTGTTTCATCTATCATATCTTGATCTTCCGGTGTAAAAAAGATACCCTCTGGTAAACTAACATAACTATGGAAAATCACCATTTTTAATGGGAAAATCCACTATAAATGGCCATTTTCAATAGCTATGTTAAATTACCAGAGGGTACAGTTCCATTTCCCAATCGGCTTCCCGTGTCCGTGACCTCCCAGGGCTTCAAATACGCCGATCGCGTGAACGCCACACGCGTGGCCTTCGTGGCTCCGGGGGAGTGGGATCAAGGCCAGGTGGGGCTCTCCTGGCCGCATGGCTTATATGGTGTGTCTATGATTGTATTTGTGTTTACATAATCATTATTAGCTATATATATAATATATAATATATATAATATATAATATATATAATATATATAATATATAATATATAAAATATTTAAAAAAAATATAGATAATATTATATATATATGGTTTATATCCAGCTATAGGATGATATTTATATATATGCATATATCTCAACGTTCACAGCATTATTTATCCTTTTCAGGCTGGTGAATTCGTATAATTTATTCAGACCAATGGTTGATGTTGGAGGAAAAGACGATGATTTACTATTGTTGATATTGCTGATACGTGTAGGTTGATATAGTGGGATTGGGAATAATAACCGCAATATGGATTTGGGTTGGTCAACAAATGAGGTATGCCCCAACTTATGGCAAGATTATTTGTAAAAATGATCACAATCATGGAATCTCAAGTTGTCAATGATATTCCTTGATATAGGATGATATAGGTTGACAACTATCAAAAATGAATCAATTATCTTAGATCAGGTGGTAATGGTCTGGGCAATTTTTTGTTTGGCCGTGGTCGCAGTTTTATTGCCGGGCTCCATCTAAATCCCTGACGGATGATCGTTTGGCCGGTCGGTATTTTCGATGGCTTGGAACTAAAAAATTGGACGGGTGAACTTCAAAATCTCGCCTCCTGTGAACATTCTAAACTCCTGTGAAATTTCTAAACACTTGGGTTTTGACCCATATTAACGCATGAAGAATCCAAGTTATAGATCGTTTCCGAGAGAGAGTCTGTGAGTTTCAGATATTCATCTTAGTTTACACCCACTGTAATTCCCCAAATCTCCATGGTTGGTTTGGCTGCTCCCATTTTAGGCTTCAGTAGAGATAGAACTGCTCTATTGTTTCAGGTGGTGTCAGGAATGAATAGCCTTGAAGCTGGTGCCCGGTTGTGTCATTTTGTCATTTTGCACCGCAGGGATTCGATAGCGCACCTGAATGAAAAAGACATATTGTTCACATATTTTTTTTAGAACTCCAGATCCAACAATCTCCATGACACTTCAGTTGCACATCAGTTTCCATCCATTTTTATGGATACTCAAATGTCTCGGTCTCAGGTTTTGGGTTATAAATCTTTGTGCCAGGCCTTGTCACCATTAAGGAGCACTGCAGCTGTTCGGATTTCCCAAGCCATGTTGAAAGTCCAGTCCAGAATCCGATACTTGTTATAGGGAGCCAAAGAGCCCAAGTAGCCTCGGTTCTGATGGTGATTTCAAGCCAAGCAAGGAAAAGGTGTCTGAACAATTGTGAATAGGAAGCGCGAAAATAAGTGAAGCAACTTCAAGTCAGTATCAAGCACAAGTGTAAGTCTAAGTGTGAAAGTCTATTTCCTAGGTGCCTGTTCACCGGAGTGCCACTGGGTGTTGAGTGCCCCACCGAAAATTGCCTAGAACTCAAAATTGGGGACTACCCTAACTACTAACTAGTCCAAATTGAACAGCCTTAATGACGATTGCAACCCAGTTGCTCAAGATATTATTGCCAAGCAATCAGAGTTGTAGACACTGCCATATCTCTCAAACAATGGTGAACAAACAGCATATCCCCAATATTTCCCTAAAAAGCCGCTGCTAAACCAAGATTTCTCAACATCACACCCAACACCGACCTCCCAAGCTGTCGCCGTCCGTGCCTTTGTGAGGACCTGAGAAACTTCAAAGAAGACGACCCCAAGGAAGTGAAGCAAAAGGATATCCCTCTGCAGGTGCCATACCCTGGGCATGGCCAGGGAGGATGTGAAAAATATGACGGACGGATGGTGGAAGGTGGTTTTGGAAGGCTAATGATGGATGATGGATGATGGATGGATGATGGGACAGACAGATTTATAGATCATAATATATCCATCCATCATCCATCCATCATAGTGGCCATAGTGGTACAGATGTCATAGATATCCGTGGCCAGGACCTGGCAAACTTCGCGTCCTACTTCCAGCTGCCCGGGGCGCCTGCGCCAACACCGGCGGCCGCACCGGCGGCGATGGCGGTGGCAACGGCTGCGGCGCCGTCAAAGGTTGGGCCGCAAGCCGGGTGGAATTCGCAGTGGGGTTGCTTCAGCCTGCTTTTCTAGCCCTTAAGCAGTTCTAACCCGTTCTAACTGGCTTATATCTTAAAACCTGAGTTAAGTGATGTATAAACTTGGCTGCAGGAGTAATAATTCTATTTATAAGGTTCATAACTATGAATGGGGGTATGCCACCCAAATGACTGTGCTAATAGGAAATGGTCTTTCGGGGTACCGCATTTTTAGACCAACCCATATATGGGATTAAAGAATATAAAGACAAGTAATGTTAGTTGATGTTGGCATATCTCGGGTTATATAAGGAATATAGAGATTTGAAGAGAACTAATGTTAAATATGTTGTGAATGTTAATTATGATAATTGATCATTTTTATATGCTGAGGGAAATAAACACATGTTTCATAATATGTGGGAAGACCATGATTTCCCTGGGACATAATCTATAAACGCAGGATTTTCCATATGTTCATTTTTAGAAGGTGAGATAGAAATAGTCACTTTATCTGGTTGGTGGTTTGGAACATTTTTTGTTTTTCCATATATTGGGAATAATCATCCCAACTGACGAACCCATATTTTTCAGAGGGGTAGTTATACCACCAACTAGCTTTATAATGTTTTGTGACTTGGAGCGATCTACTTGAATATCACCAGGTGGATTAAAGTTAATATGCTTGGATATATTTAAGTGATCTACTTGGAAATTTAAATTAATCGCTTTAATCATCTACTTATTTTTTACCTGTTAAAGTCGTTTTTCCCCAATGATAACCATCCCCCAATATCACCAGGGTTATGGCTAGTATAAGCCCTCCAAAGCTGGAGGTTTATTGCAGCTAGGGTTTTCCACATTATTAATGTTTATTGACCACTAGTAACCATTATTCGCCATAAACTGAACCATAAATATTATTAACATCTATTAACCACTATATAATTACCATCTATTATCAGTATTCATCAGTTTAACCCATGGGTCAGTGGCCGTCCAGCCAGGGGCCCAATGGTCCAAAGCTCAGACCCAGAGACCTGGGCATTCCCAGCTCCGGAGGTTTCTTGCTTCTATATATATACATGTATATATATATATACATGTATATGTAAAAAATGTATGTATATATATATACATGTATATATATATATATTTATATGTATACATATATATATATATATACATATTAAAATCTTATATCTACAAGTCGGTTCTTCCCAGCAAGCAAGGTGATGAATAATAAAGCGGATGTCAGAGTCATGCTGCGACTGCGAATAGGCTCAGAAACATCACATACATGCAGCAAAATCGACATCACTTGACATGCCAAAGCTTGGGTAACTTACCCATATTGGAGGATAGTCGTCAATCGATTTCTACGCCCATCATGTTTGGATTCCCGATGTGGGACGGAGAAGACGATTTGGCAGCCAGCTATCGTATCCCATGGCGAGCCATGATTTTGGGACCATAATTATTCCATAATATTTCCATAAGATTGTATGAAATCGGATGAAATCCCCATTGAATCCCACTCATCAGCCTTGACAATTCGACTGTGAGACTTCACGCTACCAAGGATCATCTGATTTGGAGGCGAGGTTTCAGGGTGAAATGGATTGAAAAGTGTCAACATCAAGATCGTTGAAGGAAAGCCGGGACCCAACCGTTGTGAATGGGAAGTTTAACCCGCTAGTTTTTGCTATGAACGGAAAATAACCAGCCAAACAGCAAAAGATTACAGTATTGTTTGTGGACTACCAAAGAATGACCATGATACCCAGCATCATGCGCATGTAACCACGGGTATTCAACGCAACCTAAAGTCAGTTTTATCCAACACTGGCAGTACCAATGTCTGCGGTTTTGCCGAAGGGGTATCCAACTGTCAATGTCATGGGACGGTCTAGTCGCTGCAAATAAATTGGACTGCCGTTAAAAGGGGCCTTGCTGTGGTTGTTTGACTTCTTTTTGGATTTTGGATAGTGTTCATTCATTTTCAAGCCCACTTGACATTAACACTAATAGATCCTTGATGGGAAGCTATTTGAAGAACTACATTCATCACCTACGAGTTGTTTCTGGTAGCTGTTGGATGACATGCTGCTACCACACACCTATCATCGAGTTTACCCTCTGGTAATCGAAGGTGGCTAGCTTGAAACCCCTATAAATGGAGCTTGATAGCTGGAAAAAAAAAACGAGTATAAATAGGGAAAACCTATTGCCATCTGGGTACCAGGGTTTTGACCCATAACCATATTTTAATCATTCATTTTTTCGTGACTGAAGGGGTAGATGTTAGTTCAACCATCGCTAACGAGTGCTTCAACACTGACCCGGTCTCTCATTGCGTGGGGCAGTGGTATTCCCTACTTGGCCTTACCGCGGTGATATTGGGATGACCACCCGTTGTATATTATACAGGTATTAAATTGACATCCATAAATTCATTCATAGACACATAGAATCATCATAGACTTGACACTGGTCCAGAATAGAAGATACATATGATAAGAGTCCTCAGTGTACTTGTAACTGGTTGGTGGTTTGAAAGATCCCCATTCCCCATTGACTTTTTCCGAGGGGAATTGAAACCAGCAACCAGATATGTAGATAAAGTCACAAAGCTAAGAATGACAAGAATTAGTTAATACATTAGACAATCATCATAATGATAATAGGATACAAAAGATGCTAATGACAATAACGATATCTAGTTATTAAATATCAGAATGATTAACAATGACAATTTACTACAAGCAATACACTAGATGATCTATAGCTGATGACTATAACAAAATGTGAACTAGAAGTATACCAATCATTGGATATCTATTGATGATGAATGGTAACAACGACACCATAAATACATATACCTATATTCCCTGGCGCGCTCCCCCTTGCGTCTGCCGGGGTCGGCGGATATATCTACATAAGGATACCTATACCTATATATACATATAAAATTATACGTACGTACATACATACCTACCTACCTACCTACATACATACATACATGCATACCTACCTACATACATACAAACATACATGTAATAAACATAAATAGATATTATATATATATACAGATATACACATACACGCACGAGTCAATAAAAATAACTATAGGTAATCCCAAACTCGCCCATGTTGTGGCACCTTCAGGCGACCTTGGCGGATCAACCATATCTCTCCGGCTACACGTGGCATGGCGAAGGGCGGCGTGTTTAACCACGGGTCACGTTGGCGGATCACTGGATCAGTTCGGGGATCAGAGGAAGCCAATAAAGTGGTGATTATTTCATGATGACATAGGCGAATATATGATTATAATGATTATATCATTCCTTATGACATAGCTTGCTAAATCATTCCATTGCTACATAACATTCAAATGATAACAAGAACAATATAACTATATTATCATATCAGTTCGGGGAATCCCGTTACCAACTTGTACAATGGTTCATGACAGAGGGCTATGGAGAACAATGCTCATATTTTTGCTGATAAAATCCAAAAAAATCAAATCCTAAAAGCATGATTTTTACTACTGGGAAAATACATTTTTTGCATAGCCATAATCAAGTTACATGGGAACATGGAAAATTTCGTCATCCATCCCATGATGGAAGTCAAACAACGGGAACATCGGGAAATTTCCATGAATGGACAACTAGGATTGATATATATATATATAGGTAAGCCGCTTGTAAGCTGTTGTACATTTACAATCACTTTTTTTTTTCATCATATACATGTGCAAATCATGATTCCTGGCTTGATATGATGGGTAGATAATTGGGATATGGGATGTATTGGCTTGATATGATGGTTATGTAGTGGGAAAAGAATGGGAATATTAATGGTAAATTAATGGGTATACGATGGGATACCATTGGTGAATGAAAGGGAACAGAGGGGATTTCATATGGATATCTATACACCCTATACATTTACACACATATACATATATACCATCAACTCCCGAGCAATGACGTTTGCGGTCGGGGGTTCGCTGCTGACACCATGGTTTTACTATTTTTCCCGATATTCATAGAATTGGCTCGCATTTCTTAGCATGTGGATATGTTGTTGCATTTGTGTTCTCACCTTGCAAGTGAGTTTTTGACGCAGGTGGTCTTGAAGAACAACATCCAGATTGATCAAAAATGTAAGAGCGCGACATGTCGACGCTACTGTTGACGCAATTTCTGTTGTTTATTTTTGTTGGATCAACTCTGCCTGAACTTTTCAAGTTCCCTGCAAGATCCTACAAGTATATACCATTGTTTTTGTCGCACTTCTATCTTGAGTTGCTACATGGACATTGCACAGAACTGATCATGTTGCATGTTTTTTCGGGATTAATATACAAATGTTCTATACACCCGCAATTCTGCTGGGGAAAACTAGGGTAAATAGATGTTTATGCCCCAAAAGATACAGTAATGTTTTTTTCAAGTACTTATCAGTTTTGTTTGAAAACATACTCCGGATAGTCCTTAAAATCTCACGATCATCATGTTCTCATTATGAACATGTTCTGGGTAGTCTCTCCTAATACATGCTTTCCTCTACATCCCTTAAATGAATCGATAATCAGCTCTAGGGCTACAGCTGCTGATCGACAGTTGTATGAGAAGATGAAAGCCGATGCAGGCGCTACTCCTTGGAGGATCACCTCAAATCGTAACTGGTTAGAAAGTAACTGAGGTTATAACCCATTTATTTATATATATTTACATTTTGATATGTTTATATATTTATTATTGTATATATAATTGTATTCAGGCGAATAAGCCACGAATTGCGGACTTACGTTCACGAATACGGGGGATATTTTAATGAAAACCACCTACCTTTGTGGGATGATCCTAATTGAGGACTTTTTTGCATCTCTGTAGTGGTTTACCTATGGTCAATAGCGTAGATGTTTCAAACATGGTTGTTTGGCTGCAACAAAATGTGGGTTTAATAACCATGGATCATGATACGGAGATACTTGAGTTGATGTAACCACCAAATGATGATGATCATGTGGACATTGTATACTCTTTGACAAATAAACCTGGCGGTCTGGAAAGTAGTGTCCAATTCCTGGTGATTTTTCTATCTTAGATTATCCCGATGGAATGTTCCCCAAAATCTAAATGTGTTTGCATGTGCCACACATGGATCATATGGATGATGTGACTCACCTTTGTAGACAGTTGGTGCCCCAAATCCAAGGCAACCCCTGATTTCTGAGGGGAATCATGGCAGGAAACAGAGAATGGTTTTTTCGTAACGCGGAAGATGCATTTCAGATTATATGTATATATATAGGTATATATAGGTGTATATATATAGGTGTGTATATATATAGGTGTGTGTATATATATATATAGGTCCTATAGGTCAAAATCTAAGATGTCATAATTCATAATGCCACGAACCGGACGGTTGGTTGCGGAGTGCTATGCAATGTGTGATCTTGGAACCACTTGTCAAATTGCGATTTTGCATGGCTGCGGTTGTGTGCTATGGGTTGTAAGCAGATTATACCCATTGAACAGACGATTCCAGACATATGCAGTCTCAGCTATTAAATGGGTGTATCACACAGTATCTCCACGTAATGCGATTCATGATGATGTATGCATAATATGACATAATGTGTATAATACAAATATATATATATACATACCGTATTAGTACAATTTTGCATGTATATTTGTATATATAATATACACGTGCACTTGTTTTACATGTATATATGTGTAATGTTAAAAAAAATAAAAAAAAAACACATCTAAAGACGTTATACATTTAGATATGAGTCATAGTCATATACATTTACATGGGGGTTCCTAAAATAGGGGTACCCCAAATCATCCATTTTGGTAGGTTTTTCCATGAAATAAACCATCCAGCTACTGGGGTACTTCCATTTATGGAAACCCCAATGTAGTGTTCTTGTTGCTGGGCTAGTGATGGTGTATATTATTATTAATCAAATGTTAGTGGGATATGAATGGTTTAATGGTGATCAACATTAGATGTCAATGTGTTTTTTATCATTGAATCGGCATTAACTAATAATGATATGTGGACTATACACACCCCATCAAACCATGATATTTAATAAATGTTAACTATCATTTAACCTATTAATATTACAGTAACATTTAACATTGACATATTAGGTATAATACCATAAACATATGTAACATTGTTAATTATCATTAACATCATAATATCATTAACACCATTAAATCCCACTAAATCCCATTAAACCACCATTAAATCACCATTAAATCACCATTAAATCACCATTAAATCACCACTAAATCACCATTAAATTACCATTAAATCACCATTAAATCACCATTAAATCACCATTAAATCCCCATTTTTGATAGGTAAACCATCTATTATTTCTATGGGCCATTTCCCATGGTTATGTTAAATAACCAGAGGGTATATCCAATGATCATATATCATCATATATCCCGGTTATCTCATGATTGTGTCTCCATCATTTCAGACTGAAAAATCCAAGATGCAATTTTTGGATCTTAGGAACTCTGAACCCATAAACCACCATTAAATCACCACTAAATCACCATTAAATCACCATTAAATCACCATTAAATCACCATTTTTAATAGGTAAACCATCTATTTCTGTGGGCCATTAATAGTGGATTGCAGCCATCAAACCACATCCCATTTTTCGTACAGAAAGGCTGTCCCAGCAGCACTGCCTTGCGCCGATGGCCTGGGACCCTGGAGACCCCTGGAGACTGGGGAAGCGACCACAACGGGGAACGGGGAACGGGGATGGCATATAGGGCTGTATATATATATATTTATATACATATCATAGTTATATACATAATAGTTATATACATAGTAGTTATATACATAATAGTTAATAGTGAATAGCCTAATAATTATATATATATACCCTCTGGTGAACTAACATGTTGCTATGGAAAGATCCACCATGCTATTCATGGGAAAATCCACTATTTCGACTGGGCCATTTTCCATTGCTTTTTGTATGTTCACCAGAGGGTATATGGGTATGGATCAATACCTATGAAAATACCATTTTTAGGGGGATGAACATCCATTTTAACCCAGCTATTTTGATGCGAACAGAAGGGGTACTATTGGTTTTGACACACTGCCATATATATATACATATCATGTATATATGTATACATATATATATATACACATGTATATATATATGATGGTGATTGTTTGATAAATTCAGTGGAAAACCTGTTTTTCTGCTTCAGTGTTTTATTGGCACACAGAGAAAAAGACTGCGTAAAGTGGCTGAAGGCATACATACAAGGCCAACATATGTTTTAAACAGCTCTAATTTTGCGGACCCAATTCATGAATAAATCCAATAATTCCAACTCTAAACCAGGGTTTGGTTTGGGGAACATTCATTGAGCATTATCAGATATATGTATGTACAATATACATTATCCAAAAACGAGAAAAGGTTACATTTATCACTATTTTAGGAATGGATTTTGGTGTTCTTTCTCTTGGGGCGGGTGCAATATTACATGGTTTGTTCGAGATTATTATCCTGAACAAGCCAGATTGGGCCATTAGATGTACCCCTATCTCATGACACAAGCTGGTCAATATGTTGTACTACCATAGGTTACCATCATCCCCGATAACTCAAGTAGTATAATCCTACAATGTGGGCCCCCCCAGTTATAAGTTGGTTTAGAATCCCCAGTATAGTTCGTTACAAGTACCATAAACCATAGCGAAACTGGAGTTATTAACCAACTTAGCTATCAACAATCAGCTTTAAATCCCATTAAATGCCCCTTTGTCTTGGTATTTTCCTGTGGTTTCAAACCCATTCATAGGTTAGGACCTAGAGGGCCTCACTTCGTATAGTCACCAATCAACAATGGTATTTGACATGCGGGTCTTGGCCAACCAGCCTCTTGCTGACGCAAACATGTAGGGATGGATTCTTTATGATTCTTTATGAATAGATGATTTATGGTGGTTTATAAAATGTGTAAGTCTTACTTCTTTTATGTCATATGAATGTTTATGAATTTCAGTTCATATGAATCTGTTTTGATACTGCTTTCTATCTAACTCAGAAACCTTCTAAGAGCAAACTCTTTTACAAACTCTGACCCTTAGCACTTGTTTTGGGCACGCAAAAGTTCTTGATCAATTTGCTCCCGGTTGTTCTGTGTTGTCTCAGAACACGATTACACCAGGTTCTTTTTCACATTTTTTCGTGCAGGTATCTTCACATAGGCTCCTTTTCGCAGAGCGAGCGATTGAGTTGGAAATAGAGGCGCGCCAATGACCATGGGATGACCAAATCTTGTCGTTTGGAGTCATGGTGAAAGGCTCGGAGAGCAAGTGTCGTCACAGAATGGAAATATGAAAAAAACACAATCGTGAGAATATAAAGATTGAACGGTGAGATGGCTATCAGTGCAATATCACGGAAATGATGGACTCAGTGACTAGCAACGCTGGCTGCGGGACTGCAGGTTGGTGTGAGATCCGTGTAGCTAGTGTGGTTGTCTGCTGAAATGCAGTGAACCCTTACTGGACAGAGGCTTCAAGTTGTTTTCGTCGTCATATTTTGTTGTAAGATGATGTAAGATGAAGAATTACATGTTTGTTTGTACATGTTGGCGGATACAGCAGTCACTTCAAAGCATGACAAGGAGTTCTTGACACCCACCAGAAGCAATTTCCAGTCATTCAGATTCCATGGCTGCAGGGCAATCCTGCAATCCTGTAAGACCAGTACCGATCGTATGGGGGATATTCTTGTGTTTCACTTACTGCTGTAGTACTATCTTGGTGTATGATATTTGCGTTAAAATTGACATTTGTTTCCTACAAGTTTGACAAGTGGCATGAGAATTCTTGTTGCAGCCGCCTCTGAAGGGCACTGACTTCCAAGTGAATGGGTTTGTCTGAAAGCAATTGGACATAGGGTACAGTAGCTCAAAATCTCATGGTGTATCATCTTGTTTCAATTCACATTGCCATTTGGTGGGCAGATGAGCACATCCCAGTAGTCAATGGGCATAGCAAGCAAAAAGTTGGAGTCAAAATTGGGGTTCTGCCTATTTTGAGACCTGTCCAGACCCCTGTACAGATGTGTACAGCTTGCCCAAAACCGAAAAAGTCGCGGCACAGATGCCTTCAGGGATGATTTCCACAGCAGCCAGGCTTCAGACGTCTCTGGTAATTGAAGATAGCTATGGGTAAATCATCGACATGGGACATTTTCCAGAGAAATTCCCAGAGGGTAGAGACAGTAGATGCAAACATAATTCCGAATGATGAGAATCCCCTTGATTGAGAGATGAATCAACAGTAAAAGCACGTGACATGCCATATTTTTCCGCCTGCACTTTTTGTTTTTCCATGAGAAGAGCGTCACATGATCAGTGCCCCATGGAAACCCGGTGCTGGAGCTGGAATCTGGGTGATATGCAACTGGGACATTTCACAGATCTGATACTTTTGGATGCCAGGTGTGTATTTTTTGGCCGGTGGAAGAATGCCACATTTGGACTGTTTGGATGTTTGGTAGCACGGAGGCTGCCTTTCCCAAAAACTGAAGACTTCCAGAATCCATCAGAATTGTTGCTGATTGGGAAAAGCAATCCGGATGGCAGTTCATGAAAAATTGCTTCCATTTCGGATTTCATGACATCATTCATACTACTGAAATAGCTCTTAGTCCTACTCCCAAAATCAATGGGATGTTGGATGTTGGCATGTTTACCTTTGAGTTCCGTCCGTGTCTTTTCGTAGCTGTTTGGATCTAAATCTCCTGTTGGACCAAGGGAAGTCCAAGCAGACGACAGCCATGCGTTGCCAAAGTTGCTCTCAGTACTGGGGATGAGTTCGAGAACCCAATTGAACAGGTAGACTCTGACCGAAAGATACTTAAAGGCCATTGGAACCCATAGAGAATTACAAGGTGGTGCCCCAGTTCGTTAGCTAAGTTGGTTTTTAACTCCCATAACTATGGTTTATGGCAGATATAACTATAGTTAATGGGGGTTATAAACCAACTTATGACTGGGGGGCACCATCCTGTACCAATTCCTTAAGTATATTGAAACAAGGGAGGTGATTTTTTTTCGGACAAAAACTCTCGAAAAGCGCGAAGTCGAAGTTTCGCATCTCGCACAGCTTCAGAATCAGTCTCAGAGACGCACCACTTTTCCACCTGCCAAATTGCTTGCCCCAAAAGAGTGCTGCGCCCACGAAGCAGGTTCGGGGCAGCTGGCTGAGTTTGGTGCTGTGTACCAGAAGTGGATGAGAATGAGTCCGCCCAGATGATGAACGGTTTTTCCAACCTCTCTTGCCAAACTCAAAAAGCAGCGTACGTGATAAGCTTCTATAGATTTTAGGCGTTCAGGCGTTGCTTTTCGCATCTTAGTATCAAATCATTAAATGAAGTAGTAATTAATTGCAAAAGCTTGACCAGCTCTCCATGCTTACACTCATGACTGTGGTCCCGCAGAAGTGATCTTAAATGGATGGAAATGCCAATTTGCACGTAGACATCCCCAAACTTGCTAGTTGGGGGTGCAAGGCTAAGATTGCTGCCATAAGACAAAATTTAAACTGGGTCATCTTCTTGTTTCCAGGCGCAATCCGAACAAGGATGTGGTGCCCCATACTTAGCTAAGTTGATTTATACAGTCAAGGGTCAAAGTCGTAGCGATTCTTTGCTTTTGAGTCCATACCATTGGGCGAAGCTTTTCAGGGGGGTCGTAGCGATTGTGGCTGTGCCTATGAGATTTGCAGTGATTTGTTGAATCGTTTTAGAGGCTTTTGTGGGTCAAATCCATGTATTTCCGTTGGGTTCTTGGATGACCATACAAGTGCTCGGTTTAAGTCGTATCAGTTTCTGAAAGTCGTATCGGGAGGCCGTGCGCCTGGAAAAAGTTCAAGTTTCGCATCATCACAACTTTTAGTAATTGAAATCGTTCATTGTTTTAGGGCCGTGCTCCTGGAAAAAAATCAATTTTTAGTATCGCGTCGATTTTTAAAGCTTATATTTGTTCATTTTTTCAAAGGGGCAAACGCTGGTTGCTGCTTGCTTGCTGCTGCTTGCCTGCTGCTGCTTGCCTGCTGCTGCTTGCCTGCTGCTGCTTGCCTGCTGCTTGCTGTTGCTGCTGCTTGCTGCTGCTTGCTGCTGCTTGCTGCTGCTTGCTGCTGCTTGCTGCTTGCTGGCTGGCTGGCTGCTGGCTGGCTGGCTTGCTTGCTGCTTGCTTGCTGCTTGCTTGCTGCTTGCTTGCTTCTTGCCTGCTGCTTGCTGCTGCTTGCTACTGCTGCTGCTTGCTTGCCTGGGTGGATAGGACAACATATTTAACATTTAGCTTGCATGGGGGAAACGTCCCTTTGGTCATTCCTCTTACTTATATACCTCTTTTGGATGGGAGGGACGTTCGTTTTCTTTATTTGATGGTTTGGGATGAAGAAGGGGTGCGGTGGCGCAGGGAGTTCCGCACTTCATGTTGTGGTCAATGCGCTTGACAACTCATGAATCAGGGGTCGTTCGGGGGTTGTTCGGGGGGTCGTTCGGTTGTATTTTCAGCACTTGTTTTCATTTGTGTTCTTTGTTCGTTCCTTTTTTTATCTTCTTCACTTTCTTTCTCACAGACTGTTACTTCTTCTCTTTTCATTGTTTCCTTCGTTCACTCAGTCTTACTCCTTCTCAAATCAAACCATTGTGGCAGAATGATTTTTTTGTAATGCAAAGCAGTGCTGGCAGAAGAGTAGTCTGCAGCGCGAGGGGTGGGCTCTCCCGTGATTGTTATAATGGTACTTTGTATCCTTCAAATGAAGGCAATCCCCTTGTGTTTTGATGGATTGCTGTGACCCTGCTGTGACCCGGTCGTGGCGACTTTTCCGCAAGCGGTTTGTCCACACTCAAGAAAACTGCTCTGACTTCAGCCCTCGACTGTAACTAGATTAATCGTGGTTTGTGGATGTTGATGGAAGATATATCTCTATACTTTCCTCGGAGGTTGGAAATCAACCGACATATTCCCATCTCCCTATGAAACACCCCCCAAAACGGTGCCAAATATGATAAATATGTGGTTTTATCCCCTATGAAAAACAACGGTTTCTTGGGGGTGTTTCATAGGGGATTACCCCATGACTTCACTTAGCTGATCAGGTGGGCCCTGGGCTGGCCCAGCCCCATCCATGCCGGCACCAGACAGAGAGCTGGGGGCCCATCCGGATGCGGGGGTTTTAGGGTGCTGATTTGGGCACATCTCTAGGTAATCCATCGATTTTTTGCTGGATAATGATGACATTATATTACATGATATCAAGTTAAATGTTGTAGCTAACTGTTGCTTACGCTTGGTAAATGTTACGCTTGTCAATGCGTACGCTTGGGATGAATAGAAGTAGATCCATATTTTGGGATTGCCTAAGAGCGGCTTCTCCAATTTTGTGGGTCCGTCGGTACCCCATGGTCGAGCAAAATGAAACACCTGCAAGTCGTGCAAGATCATATGTACATCTATACTTCATTACTATTCAGTATGTACAAGTATGTACTGGTACAAATATAATCTTGCACATATAATCATATTTTGTTTTAATAATCATATTGTTTTGCACACATATTTGTACATATACATATTTATACATAGTTATAATATGTTATAATTATTTATACATACATTACATTACATCACATTGCATTACATTACATTTACATTTACATTTACATTACATTACATTACATTACATAACATACACGATAACATGATTACATGATATGCTGATTGGTGTCATTTTTATCGCTCAACCCTCGAAATCCCCGGTTTTTCTTCAGGGCATGGCCACTACAACCCATGGATCTCACAGAGAAGTTCGAGGTGCAGCCTGCCCTAAAGAGGGGGCACCAGCCTGGCCTTCAAATTTCAAATGATGTTGATATGAGATTTTTAAATGATGCTGATGTTTAAATGATGTTGATTTTTAAATGATGTTGATTTTTAAATGATGTTGATTTTTAAATGATGTTGATTTTTAAATGATGTTGATTTTTAAATGATGATGTTTTTTAAATGATGTTGATTTTTAAATGATGTTGATTTTTAAATGATGTTGATTTTTTAGATTATGATGATTTTAAATGATGTTGTTTTTTAAATGATGTTGATTTTAAAATGATGTTTTTTTTAGATTATGTTGATAATTTTTAAAATGTTGATATGTTGATATGTTGATTTCCAAAATATTACTATATTGATATTATCAATGTTGATATCATTTGATATGATGTCACAATGAATTCATCTGATGTTTATGGTTTGTTGTTTTGGTCGAGGATAATCATCTGGTTGGTGGTTTGGAACATTTTTTATGTTCCATAATATATGGAGATAATCCTTCCCATTGACTTTCATGTTTTTCAAGATGGTTAAAACCACCAACCAGTCATTTGTTGTCATGTGTTTTCGTATGATTTCATATCATTTCAGACTGCTAATAGCTGTGAGTCCATTGAATGCACCCATTGATCGAAAGGGTCAAAGCTGAAGACCCAAGGACTCGAACCATGCAACTTGGGGAACGTAAGCTGGATCCAAATATCCATGGTGTGTGTGTGTGTTTTTACCAACAACAATTAGTTAGCACGGACAACTTCCCATGCTCCTTTGGCACAGCAGCAGCTGCCAGTGCCGCAGAGAGCGAAACAACAATTAGTTTTACAAAGGCAGATAATCATACACCCATAAAACTTGGCAACAAAGATTTTTCCCTGACATTCCTTGTATAATTGCCCCCACTTCGAATCATGTGTTCAAACATTCCGTATGATGCCAATTCGGAGCACAATTTTTGTAAGATATGCTCTTGAAAGTATAGGGAACCCAGTATGAGGCGTTAATGTTGATATCTAATTCTTGGAGACTTGGGTGCTGTTGGTGTGTCAGCCCAGAGGCTCCATTGCAGGCTAATCACAGTAATCACAATCCCATCATGCAGGTCTCTCAATGTCCAAAGGTGGATTGAAGGCGACCATGATGAGCTTGCAAGATCTTGCAAGCTTCATCATGTTTCAAATATGTCACAGCATGTCTTGCTTTCTATCTCTGGGAAGATTACCCTGCAGTAAAGTGACATAGCAATGGAAATTCATGGATTTCCTTTGGAAATGCTCTACATTCATGGTGGATTCTCCATATGTACACAAGTCTTTTCCTGGTATCCCAGTTGACACGGCAAGCGCGAGGCGGTGGCCAATTGTAGTGCTACCTGGCATGGCTTGACATCGGACTCACGGGTGGCAGAACCTAGTCTTGTTGGGATCTTTTGTGGGAAATCTAAAGGATATATATAGGATATATATATAATTATATATAATTATATATATATATTTATACATGGTCTATTGAGGATATAATGGTATAGAACTTTGGGTATGTCATGGTCCATTTTGTGTGTCTTGGTCCATGAGGTATTCCCCAATGTTTTGACCATCTTTTCATGGGAACACTAGGGAACGTGATGATAAACCCCCCATGTTCAAACAAAATCCATGTGGGTATGTCTGAAAATGGGGTATACCCCCAATTATAGCCATTTAGTAGGGATACTGATCATTAACCACTGGGTGTAGGGGTACACTATTTTCAGACAAATCCATGTCTTTCATGCAGGTGATTTTTTTGTGCGGTGAATATCATCATTGGGAATTTACTTATGTTGTGTCATACAGTCAAATTTATAGATCATGATTGGGACATGTACCTACAGAGGAGACAGATGTGAATAATGACAATGATAACATGTAGGTCAACATATGATCATGTGTGATATTCAATGATGTTTAATTTTTGTCTATGTTTATCAAAGAAAGATACATAATATATGTTTACTAATATATAGAAAGTTAATGATATAAATTGATATTATACTTAACATTCATGATTTAAACATTCATGAATTATATCATGAATTTAATAGTGATCATCAATTGAAACAGTTGATATGTTTTATTGATATAAATTGATATCATTAACTGTAACTTTTTAAATAATATATATATATGTATATGATATGATATATGATATATTAACATTTATCATGATGTAAATTGATATAAATCATGAAACACCCGGTGTGATGTAATGATCACCCGCTGGTGCCTCCAAGTCCAAATCGCCAGGCGATTCGCCATTGAAAGCTGCAGTTGGAGGCCCCTGATATCAGACGTGTCAAACGTGGGGAAATCTCCCAACTGAATGGAGGTTAAAAGATGTTTATAGCTGGGAAATTCATCTAACATGGCTACATGGTGTTATGTAAAATATATATATAATGATTAATTTACGTATATACAGTATATACATATATACTGTAAATATATGTGTGTGTATGCACTAAATGGGAACATCATCTATAAATGGCTACCCTTAAAAAGAAAAGAAGAAGTGAAATCCAACTGGGTCATTGATGTCTAAGTCGCTTTACAGACACCCAAGAGTCGTAGACAAATCTCGGCGTGTACTTGGTGTTGTAAACGTAGTTGTGGAATGTCATGGCCATGGTAAGATAAGGTTATCATGCTTTGATACCGCTGAATAGTTTGCGCATGGCAGAATCATGTGGAACCCAGCTATTTTCACATGGGATAGTCAGATAGTCAGATAGTTGTTGCTACCCTCTGGTACCTGGTAATTTAACATAGCTATCGAAAATGGCCATTTATAGTGGATATACCTATTCAAAATGGTGAGTTTCCATAGTTTTTTGTATGTTTACCAGAGGGTATTTTTGGGGATCACCTTCTGCATGTTCCATCCTCAACCGAAGGATAGCAAACCAGCGACACAGCGTGAAGACGCATGAAGATTCCCTGGCAACTAGTAGTGGGACCTGCGGGCCGAAGATTAAAGCGCCTAAATTGGAGACATTTTACCCCTTATTTAATTAACTTATCTATCCTTATTAAGGATCCTTAAGTGGCTTGTAGAATATAATTCAATTCGACAAATTTACGGTAAATAAACAAATAAGTCGATTAATACCACTATCGACAGTGTATACTACCATTATAGCATTATAATAGTGTATTATAATGGTGTATAATTAACTATTAAATGATATTTTTATGTACTATGAACTATTACACTATTAATTAATTATTGGCTATTAGCATAGTGTACAATTAACTATTGTGTATAATGTTAATAGCTGAAAATACACATAGTTATAGTTTTTTCTAGTTACATACAGTGCATAGACTAGTTTAATACATTATTAGTTACATACACTATTTTAATACATTATTAATTAACTATAGTCTATTTGCATCTCCTATTTACCTTGTTTCAGTCATTAGTGAATAGTTAATATACTATATTTAGATATATTTAGTGAATAGACATATTTAGTGAATAGGAGATGCAAATCAGCCTATATTTATGTAATTTTATGTAGTCAGAATAGCGAATAGTTATATACATAGTAGTTATATTTAAAATAGTTATATACATAATAGTTAATATTTAGTTAACAAATCGGGCTCGCGAAGCGGTTAGCCTCGGAATCTCCAGGAGATCGAGGTGATCACCTCGCGGCGAGCGAGGCGTGGAAAGATTTTAGATCACCATGAAATTTTGGAAAGATTAGTATTTTTTGAGTATTCTTGAGTCTTAAAATCTTGAAATGTTGGGTTTGAATATGGAACCGGTAGAAAAGATGGATCGCCAGTTGCAGAAATTGGGATGCTTTGTATTGGAGATGATTTCCATTAACCACTTGGAAGTTAATGTGTGAAAGTGTCTTTGCAAAGTTGGTACATTGCAACACGTGTTTTTCTTCTGATTTGGTCTTGGTTTTTGGTGATACATGTTTCAGATTTGCGCAGACTGTTGAGATGTTGAGGTTAGAAGCTGTAAGAATCAATTTCGCAGGTAGCCCTGAAACCATGGTGGCCATTCTCCAATCTCAGACTTGAAGGGAAAAATTGCAGGAAACCCCTATAAAAAAGGGGGTTCAAAGCCATGCTTTCCTGTGAGTTTTTCCCTTTAACCAGGCAATATAGGACGTATGTTGGATTCCTACAAGGTGGTGCCCCCCAGTGATGTGAACGTTGGTTTATAATCCCATGAAAACTAGTTCGATATCTACCATGAGTCCTAATTAGTGAAATTAGAGTTGGTTGTGAACCCCAACTGAACGCTATCGATTTTTTTCAGCGATTCAAATCCCATGAAATCCCCATGAATTCCTACCCATAGGATCCATGTATGGTATATATGCTAACATTTGGGGTATATTGATGGTAAATGTTACCATATATACCATACATGGATCCTATGGGCTATGGTTTTCCTATGGATTTTTATGCACCATCTTCATCCGATCGCATCCGCGCGCTGGTCAGGCAACAACTCCAGCAGGCGGGGCCAATGGAGAACCAAGGGAGCCAGCGGTCCAGCCAGGGCGTTTTGGGGGCGATTCATGGTGTTTTTGCCATAGAAAAACTATAGGAAAACCATAGGAAAACTATAGGAAAACCATAGGAAAACTATAGGAAAACCATAGGAAAACTATAGGAAAACCGTAGGAAAACTATAGGAAAACCATAGGAAAACTATAGGAAAACCATAGGAAAACTATAGGAAAACCATAGGATAACCACAGGAAAACCATAGGAAAACCATAGGAAAACCATAGGAAAACCATAGGAAGACCATAGGAAAACTATAGGAAAACCATAGGAAAACCACAGGAAAACTATAGGAAAACTATAGGAAAACCATTGGAAAACCATAGGAAAACCATAGGAAAACCATAGGTTTACCCTCTGGTAATGACTAACAGTGTGCTATTGAAAATGGCTATAGAAGTAGTTGATTTACCTATTATATAAAAATGGAGATGTTCCATAGTTTTTTGTATGTTTTACCAGAGGGTAACAAATGTAACAAGACCATGAATCAGTTTTTTTCCATGAAGAATTGGATGCCATGGTCTGCATGGGTCTTGCATTTCGTCTCATCATTCAGTTTTGGGAACATATTTGCATTGAGAGGTGCCAAAATTGCCAAAAAAAATGCAACATCCACAATAACGCTGGCATCCAGGGTTTTTTCTGTGACAGGTAGCAGCAAGAGAGCCAAGGGGCCAGGCGTGTCAGGGTTCAGGATCCGCATTTACCCCGCACGTTTTCATTGAAAATCTGCAGGGTTGAATCCATTGAAAGCTGAAACCAAACTGGACTGGCTGGTGGTGACTGGAACATGTTTTATTTTTCCATATATTGGGAATAATAATTCCAACTGACGAACTCATATTTTTCAGAGGGGTAGGTATACCACCAACCAGCTTTACTTTGTTGCAGGTCTATGTTGACTAGCAAGGGTTTTGGGAGGGGTGGCCCGAAATGTGTGCTGAAACTGGCTGAGACAGAGATTTTCATGGAGCACCGGTGCGAAGCTGATCTTCAAATCCGAATCTGCTGGTGGCACACTGGTTGTTTGAGCTCGAGGAAGCCTTGCGGCCTGATTTGTTGAGCCAAAAAGTGGTACATGGTGATAGATAGAATTATCATTTTCATGATCCAGGTTGCTGTGTATATACCCTCATGACCGGTAGTCGAAAGCAACCCGAAAGTTGCAGACAAAAACTCGCAGGAGCATCAGGACAAACTCATGTTGCAGGGTCAAACAGTCATCCAATCTAGTTGGAGATGTTCATACACAAAATGTCCAGTCCAATATCGTTCAATATTGGAAAATTAAGACATCCCACAACATGTAAAAACATGTCAAAACATCTCCAAGATGAAAATTGTTTTTTGAAGAATTTGAACATATCTTCAAATTTAAACTACAGAATTCATCGATCCCATGAAGTCATGACTTCATGGTTGAATCTGTTGATATCTTCATGGTGGAAAGCCGGCATGTTTCATAGCTACATTCCAATCGGGTCGTTCCATGGTCAGGTTCGGCTTCTGCAAGGCGCGGGAAGTGGCCTGGAATGCCCTGGAATTTGAACGACGGGAAGTGTAACTTACCATTAAGGTTCAGATAATTTTTCTGTGGGTAAAACAATTTCATAAGCCATCCCCAAAATCACTACAAATATGTAGAACGGTATAAACCATTCCCAAATGGGTGGTTTATGGCATTGTTTTACCCCCATTACATATACAAATCAGACTAAAATCACCATTTTTGTCGCTTAAATGCCATTTAACCACCATTTTTCATTGTTAAATCCCTTGTTTAATAAACCATTCATGGCTAACATCCACTGGGTCAGCCATTGACAGGGGAAGCTGCGAAGCGCTCGGCAGCTTGTGGCAAGAAATTGACAGCTCCCAGTCACAGGCGCGGGGACTTTTTTCGTGGCTGAGATAGGTCAACTGCCATGAGGGACTAGAATACCATGTAGAAAGATATCAACATAGCTAAGTTATGCTAAGTTGGGGTTCACATAACTGCAATAACTATGGTTTATGAGACGCAAATAACTATAATGGCTGGTTGGTGGTGACTGGAACCATGGAATTTTGAATGACTTTCCATACATTGGGAATGTCATCATCCCAACTGACAATCTCATATGTTTCAGAGGGGTGGGTATACCACCAACCAGGTTTAGCTTAAGGTCAACAAGGAAGTATGTTTTGGGGAAACATGTTTGGTGTTTTCTCCGAAATAAATCGTTCTGGATAGATGCAAGTGGTACTTATTTGTGAAAAAAAAATCCAGCATTGATTTAGATCTCATATTAGTTGCTCCGCTACGCAACGTAGAATCTCTTTTTCAATTTTTGCACATCTCTGTTGTTTTTCATTCTGGTTCACGACATTTTTATGTTTTGGAGATCTTCAGGCCATCTCAGGGTATCCCAAGATTAGGCTTCTGAAATTTTGAGTCTAGTCCCGGAATCCGTAAAAAACTGCTTGGTGCTTTGAAAGTTTGTGCACCTCAATTTCCATCCTCGGATGATGATTTCCGCTTGTTTTTGTCGGTCCTGTTTTTGAAGCGGTTTGAAATATTTTGAAATCACTAAACATCATCCTGTTTGAATATCGGTTTGATGGTAAATGATGGTAAATTCAGTAAACATCTGCCATATTCATTGCCCCTTCGGCGAATGGAATGAGGAAGGAATGAGCGTAGAGAGTGACGAACCGAGATACAGAGTGAGACGCTTTACAGTGGGGAAATGTGGGGAAATCGGGATTCGGGTGATTTACCCAGTGAAAAAACTTCCGTGAAATCACCACATCGCTAGGCCACAGACACGCCCAGAACCAAGAGGTGCGAAATTCAGGAAAGAGTGGGACTGGGCTCAGATGCAAAATTGGTTCACAATTGCAAGATCCAGGGATTTGTCGACCATTTGCATAATTCGAATCATAATTCTGCATGTTTGGTTCGATCTTACCACCACAAGTTGTTCAATTTAATCAACAAGAATGGTGGTTTCATCAGAAGATGATCGCGATATATCTGGGTCAATCATATCGACTATGTCGACTTGACTTCAAAAGGATGTCACCATAAATGAGCAGTGTTCAAAACCCCTGTTGGTTGATGATTATTATAGGGGAGTATACTACCCAATATATTGGGGATTCTAATAATCCGATAGGGGAATCCCTATAAACCAACCAGTATAATGGCATGATACAGGGATTTTGAACACTGCTCAAATGATAATTGATGAATGATTACAACTCAGGCAGACAGAGTATTGGCTAGTCATTGGCTCGTCATTTTTTGAATTGCTCATCCAATTTTTGGGTTCGGCCTATGTCCATATGATAGTCGCCCATTTAATCTCATTTATCAGGATATAACAACCAGTGTTCTTGGATTTACATATATTACATATATTTATATAATCATAAGTTCAGAGTGAAGTGTAATAACTCACTTTTGACTCCCAATCAATGGCTTTCTATTTCCTACGAAAAGGATCTTTCACAGCAGTGAAAGCAACGGGTGAAACTGTGAGACCCAAAGTCCACCTGGCAACGAGAGCGAAGGCACTCCTTCCAGTGATGCTGTGTCTGAAAATGTGCTACCCTCTGGTTATTTAACAGTTCGCCATGGTATAGATGGCCCATAGAAATAGATGGTTTACCGAACTTAATAGCATGGTGATTTTCCATGGCTATGTTAAATAACCAGATGGAAACTCCAAAGTTTGATGCTCTGTCATGATTTTCCCCATTGAATTAGATAGCAGGCTTGGGGTATAGCGCATTTCCTTGACAGACCTCCAACTATCGGGTTCGTTAGTTATATATCCCATGTCATCCAAACCATCCAACTATCACATATCATCCAACAGCATCCAACTATGTCCCATTCCAAAAAACATTACATGCTTGGTGGTTCATCCCACTTAGTACTCAATGTCTCCAACCATCATATCTCCCACATCACCTTGGCGGATGCCAGAAAAAGGTCTCTAGGCCGAGGGGCCAAACGTGGGCCACCCAGATCACCTGACCTTTTTTTTGAGTGGTGGGGCTGTTTCCATAGATTGTCATGTGAGAGAATTCTCATAGATATGGAACATGACCCATTGTTTTGTTGGATGAAAAAATAAACATGATTTTGCCTATCAAACCATATGGAAAATGACCATTATTAATTTGGATAAAAAACTTTTACCATGATTTTACCTATGAAACCCAGAGAATTCGTGATCTGTTGTTGGATATGTTGCCATCGCTGGCTTGGGTTTTTACTTTCCGTCCATCGTTGCCTGGGTATCCTCCAGTAGACCTTGACATTTGTAGCGCGTCGAAAAAGTGCAGGTCTTCCTGGTCTCATGGAAATTGTAAAAAAAACTGGGCATGGTTCACCTGAAGGTTGGAGAAGTTTGGCCAAAAATGTCGCCTTTGTCTCCGAGTTGTGTCGGGGGGTGTTCTGCCGTGGGCCGGCTTTAAGATGCCAGAAAAATTAGGCTCTGGTTATATCCACACATAAATACTGAGGACTTGGGGAGCTAAGGAACTAGAGTTTCCATGAGTTTCCCAAGATCCCAAGATATGACATGACAGATGGATGATTGCGTTGGTTCTTGGATGTGTTTGGGCTTCGACTGAGGAAAACCTGCGGCTGCTCCAAAGGTGAAAGCCGCAGCGTCGCCGAAAGCAGCCGCGAAGCGTGGACGAGGCCATGGAGGTGGCTGGTCATCACCAGGAAAAGAGGAAGAACTGAAGAACCAGGCTATTCATACTGTGGATGGAAGAAATCTTGCACCACCTAGGATGGTTAAAACCCTATAAATAATGGGATAAACCATCTATCAACTGGTGCAGGTTTTCTTCCATCCACAGTATGTTTATTGGATAATGAAATGAATAAATGGATATCAATGGGTCAATTATTGGATGTACTATAATGATTATCTGGTTGGTTTCAAACATGGCTTTGATGTTCCATAATTCATATATGGGATGTCATCCGAAACCCATTGACGAACTCCATCATTTTTCAAGATGGTTATTGCACCACCAACCAGTAAATGTTTCAGTCAGGGTAAAATGTGGTGCATCTGTGAATTCATGCCTGTCATGATCGGCTGATGGCTGATGACAATGGGAAGACTCACAGAAACTACAGCCGGCTGCCTGGAACCTCTGTCAACCGACAATCTCGGACACTGCTCAAGTGTGTTGCTGGAGAGCAGAAAACATATGTATTTCAAGATTTTTCAGGCGGAGTATCTCCCTCCACAAAGTGATCATTTCCAGATTGGTCGTGCTTTCATATATATATATCTTTCATGATCGCTCATATTGAAAGATAGTTCAGTGAAACTAGATACCATGCTGTGCATGGTCTACGAGTCTACGGATCAGCTGTAGTCACAGAACAACTTTCATGCCTGAAAGTTGAATGGTTACTTAAAATTGTTACAAATATCCCATGACGGATCCATGGTGCTGGTATATATGCCAACATAAAGGGGGTATATGGATGGGATCCATGTTACCATATATAGCATACATGGATCCTATGGGTTATGATTATGATTTATGACATTTTATGAATATGTTGATAAAAACGGACAGTTTTTTCCATGGTTTGTTCCATGACTGGAGATCTATAAAGCAACTCCCGAAAAGAGTCCCAAAAAAACCGACGGCGTCCAGGTGCTGGTGCTCCCAAGGCCAAGGCCAAGGCCAAGGCTGTCGACCCAGATCTGAAAAAAAATCTGTGATTTTCACTACTTGGTGGCTCATCCCACGGCTCGTAAGTGGGTTATAACCCCAGTTATAAATGGGATAAATAGGGTTAATCCACTTGTAACTGGGGTTATAACCCACTTACTAAGTGGGATGAGCCACCAAGTATACTTCAAACATCTTCAGGCACCTTCAAACTGCAAGAACTATGAATATGCCCACATATGTTTTGTCCCTGAACCTAATGCTGGATACATTCAAAGTTGGGCCAAGTTGCAAGAAAAGACGATTTGTTGATTGAAAGGCGATTTCTGCACCATCTCTTTGAGGGTCTTGAGGGGTCCACTACACCAACACAATTTGCTTGGACAAGTCCTTGTTCCTGTTGGACATGTTCGGAGAGTGGCGATAGGCAACTGATCTTCAATCTGGAATGACAATCTCTTCTGTGGGTTTGTCTCAAAATAGGGTACCCCAATCTAATCCAATCTATCCATATTTAGAGGTGCCGAATCTGTCTGGAAAAACATCCCTACGGATTACCGCAAAACATCTCCGCTTTTTTGTGTTTCTTTAGCATCCCCATACTGTCCCCATAAAACGGCCATAGAAAAGCCTATCAATTCCTGGTTGTCTACACCTCTTCACTCTTTTTTGGCCCATGGCGAGGCCAAGGCGAAAGCAGCCAGCAAGCCGCTGGCGCGCCCTGCCGCCAAGGCCCCTATCGGAACCATAGCAGGTGGATGGTTTTAGTGGCAAAAGAAACATGCAAAACCATAGGTTTTCTGCAGATGTTCCCTTAGATCAATGGATTGGTTTAAGGGAAAAATGTAATGTTCCCTTAAACCAAATTAGTTCGTTAGATCAATTATGATCAATTCAATTCACTTCATTGATTTGACAAGGCTACTTGCTGGTAGCTTCAAATCTGTATGAAGAGCTCCTTTTCAGAATGGATTCTCACTCATACAGCTACACATGTTCTGGTTGGTGGTTTCACACGTTTTTTATTTACCATAATACATGGAAGAATCCTTCCCATTGACTTTCATATTTTTCAAGATGGTTAAAACCACCAACCAGTGTTTCTCAATTGAGTATATACTTGAGGATTGCGGATCCTTGAATCCAATGATCGGCTAGTTACCTGACAATTCTTCACGCAATTCTCATTTTCCGGAGATGTCCAGCTGTTAAAAATTGGTACCTCTTACCCTAACTATTAATATCTCCAAATATATTCCAGCAATTGGATATATTAAAAACGATCGCCACCAATAATACCTGAATTGTAAGTACATGTAATTCAGGGCTACCTGCTGCCTATCTCATTTTATGATACCTTTGTACCCTCAATAAATCAGTATTTGTTGGTTATATATGGTAATATCTCCAGTATTATAGTATTGGTGTCGTCCCGTCCCACACACCAGGTCGAATACTGACAACGACCCATTCGTGTAGGTACCCCATCTTGAAGCCCTGCCAAGATTCTGAAGCGCCGTATTTTCTCATCGATGCGTTGAAAAATTGACTGAGGGCTCAGTCCAAGATATTCCATTTGCGCTCCTCTTAACCGGCGCACCGAATTGGATTTCTTCCATACGAATGGGATGGGAGGGTCCGTTTGGAATGGGACCAACAGCTAGATCAGCTGACAGAAAATGGAGGTTTCCTAAAATGGGGGTACCCCCAAATCATCCATTTTAATAGGATTTTCCATGATAAACCATCCATTTTTGGGGCACCCCCCATTTATGGAACCCCCCTTTTTTAGCCCCCCTTTCCCAAGCTTCAACTCTTTCCTTGGCAGGTCATGAAACGGACCTGACCGTCGAAGAGTCGAAGCGGAGCGAGTTTTCCAGTCCTCCTCTGGTGTGAAGGTAACACCTACAGCTTCGCCAGTCATTTCCCCAAGCCAGTCCCAGTGGGAGATGTTTTTGTGTTTTTGTGTTTTTTGTTTGGTTTCCTTTGTTGGTGCTGGGGGCATCTTTTATGGTCTCCGAGGAGCAGCATCTACCGGCGAGGGAGGTGCTCTGATCGATTCAGGATCCATCATGCATCGCATCTCCATTTGGTTGATAAAGAGGTGTGTGATGAACACGTCTTGTTTTTACAGATTCCCAAAAAGGAGGCCCTTTGGCTTTGGGCCCCACAGATTTGGGCTTAGGGATCTGTGCATTGTGGACTAGCCTCATACCAGGATACCACAGTTGAAGGAACCATGTGGGATATGAATTAACCACAGATCATACCAATAACCACCATTTAAATATCCCTCATACCAAGATCATTCCAGATCTGAAGGATCCATGAGAGATTGCCCACCATGATGGATCCAAGCCATGTTTCCAGTTTCACAATCCTGCCCGAGCCTCCGTGGTTTCAGCAGGTGCCAGTTTGGTGCCAGTCTCTGTGGAAATTCCCAGCCATCTGTGGCCAAAAAGGATGGCCAGCTGGAAAATCTTGAGCTTCCAAGGGTCATCTCTCTCTGAAAGGGCTAGAAAACAGGCAAGTTGTTGGAGCAAGAGACTGTTGACCGTAGCCTGGGTCGTATCATAAGCTTGCTGACGGCAAGTGGACGCGCCCCAAGCAATGGGGCCCTATGGCGGGGTTCCTTGATGTTCTTTGTTGATTGATGATGTTGATGGATATGGATGGATATGGTTCAGGATTCTAAAGTAAAATAGTACATGTACAGTACATGTGATCATATTCTTGAGAGTTTTGAGTTCTGACCCAGACGAAGACCAGGTAGTTGCTGTATGATCTGTGTTGGTTCGTGACCCACCACGACTCCCAATCAGACGCTGGGTTCTTTTTGTTGAGCGTTTTGAAGGTCCCCAATTAGCGAACACCCCACCAGCAGCAAATGTCATTGTGGATCATAATATTTCACTGAAGGACCCCGTTTAGATACTTGAAGGCTAGAGATGGAAAAAGGATATGTAAGAGATGTCAAAGGTAGTTGCTTCTCGAAGAAAATCCAGGGCAATCCCATTGCTTGTTGGCTGTTACAGTATGATAGGAATGCCACCCAGTCTTCCGACTGGGTTGGGTTGGTTAGTGTACATGATCTGGCTGAAGCGTTGGACAATGAAAGAAAAGTGCACGGCTGGTGTCACAAAAACATGTTCAAACATGGAATCGTTTGTAATTAAATTGTATGTATGTGTATTAATATAATATATATATATATATATTCTGGTTGGTGGTTTGGAACATTGTTTATTTTCCATAATATATGGGATAATCCTTCCCATTTACTTTCATATTCTTTAAGATGGTTAAAACCACAAACCAGATATTAAATTATGGGTTTCTCTCAGTATCACCACGCGGATTCCCGCAGCGACCACTACCCCGAAATAGGACAGCAGCTGAACAGAGCTGCGTGGGACTATGAGGGACCTTGGATATGTGAGCAGTCTTGGGGTAAGTTGATGACAAAAATTGATGAAAGCCACAGTTCTTCACTGCTCTCTGCAGGTTCTCTTCTTGAAAAAAGCTTTGTGTGTTTGACTTCTAGGTTGATGAAGTGAGAAAAGAACATGTATTAATTTAAGAGTCAGCTTGAGTGAAATGTACATGTTGGTTTCCCTGCCAATTGGGAAGGAGATCGATCATGATTTCTTGGCAACCTGGGCTGCGACTGACCAGCTGACCTCCTCATTTTTTGCGGCAGCAACTCCAGAGACGATCTTTGTGGCCCCAAAAACTGCAGCTTTTAGTTTCGCAAATTCCGAGAACACGTGAGAACAATGAAGATGCTGTGGCGGGACTGCAGGACTAATTGTTACCTCCCGCAGGGCAGATTGACTATATTAATATTTTATAACCTCCCTCAGGTAGATTTCATGGCAACCAGCTACGCCTACCCCCACCAAATTAGATTAAACATGATTAACCTAGTCAGACTTGCCACAGCAGCTAGGCAGCACCAAACTCAAGTCACAGCAACATTGATCAATGTTTGTGGGCAGTCTTGGACTGCAAGTACTGCAAGAGATCTATAGAAATCTTACAGGATATACATGATTTACAGCACAGGGGTCCATGGCTATCAATGCTATCAAGATATATTGGAACATTATTCTTTGTCTCAAGAAACATGCACCAAGTTTTCCATGGATCAGTACCTGCCAGCAGCCCCTTTTCGCCATTTGCCGCGATTTTCCTGCGATGTACTGCCGAAGTTGTTCGCAGCGGTGGAGGTGTCTTCGGGTGTTCACTTAAAACAGGTGTGATACCCGTTGGTGATTTACCATGGCTATGGTATGCTATGGTATACATGGCCCTTTTAGTTTGATGACTCACCGTTTTTTTTTTTACATGGTGTTTTTACATTGCAAACTGCTAAATTGCCAGAGGGTAGTGTGTGTTCCCCTTGATTCCTTGATTCTACTGGAAGAACCATTGGTTTCCTGCGGATCTTAGACTACCAACAGGGACCAAACATGGCTTCAATTTCCGGGGGATGGGCACCTGGCTCAATATCCCTGGATGGTGTGACGAGACACTCGAAGACCGGAATTGAAATCTCGCGATGTAACTATGACTAGAGCTGGTGTAAAATAGTACCCCAAAACAAGGATAGAAATGCAATTCCCTACTATTTTAAAGTTTTAGGTATCTAAGTAATTCTAAGTATCTATTTTCTGATGGCTGGCTATACATTGAAAATATATCACTTTTGTCATCTATTGATCTTTAAATCTCCAAGAAAGTGTGGCCATTTGGACCTGGACCTGGTGGAGCTCGCAGGCATTTTGCAGGGCGCTTTGGTCAGGTGCGGCCTGGATCCACCTGGTGAATCGTCCATTTCTGGGTCTCTTAAAATAGACAGTTTCCCAAGTCACCATGGGGGTTCAGGTTGCTAAGTCATGGTCGTTCATGACGACTGGATGATAACTGGGGTTGCTAAGTCATGACGACTGGGAAATTTTGGGAAAGCTCCATATCTTGGTGATTTTCGCATGTTTGAACTGTTTGAACCCGTCCCAGAATGCTCTGATAGAGGAGAGCCAGCGGGGATGTGTTTTTCAGAAGGACCCATCATTGTCACTAAGCCCAGCATTGAAGGTTGTATGCCCATTTTCAATAGGAATTTCAGGACCCTTGAATAGAGGTACAGTACTGTACCATATAAAGCCGTAGAACTTGGGGATATATTCTCGTACATACCCCTGACATAGCTGACATCCCAGGATACACAAGTCCTGGAACTCACTCCCCCGAACAAGCAGCCACGGCAGAGCAGAACCTTCCCAGTTATGACCTAAGGGAAGATCAGAGGTGGGTTCAAACCTGCACTGCTGAACGGCATTAACGTTTCTGGGTAAATTATAACGACCTCACTGTTCTCTCGAACCCTGGAATCATGGTTTATTTTAGGGAAATCATCCCCAAATGGCCGAACTATTCAGGTTATCCCAGATGTTTAAAGTTTCAAATGCCACTGATGGCAAGGCTTCAGGGGATCCAGAGGGCCATGACAGTCAATCCCTACTGAAGTATAAACCACCAAAGGCAACCAGGAAGATTGTAATCTCAGTATGCTGTATGATTGTACTCCAAAGAATCTTTACTGATATGATCTTTTTAAAGCGACCTCGGGATGTGTCAAAACTCGTGGGCAAAATCATGGTCAATGGCAGTGCCCAAATCCTTGACTCTCTCATGACATTTAGTGAACCATAGGCTTCCTTAGGAAGAGTCATGTTCAAACCGTTTGTTTCATATTTTTACCAGGTTTTATTTATGTTTACCTTATGACAATAATGAAAAGTCTCATTTTTTAATAGATGAGTGGTCCTTTTCCCAGCTATAAACCTCTACTGCTTGGTGGTTTGGAACATGGCTTTTTATTTTTCTATATATTGGGAATAGTAACCCCAAGTGACTACAGTAATATTTTTCAGAGGGGTAGGTATACCAGCAACCAGTCTATTTATAGGGGATTTCCCGTTGCACCGTTTGATTGCCGGATGGTCCTCGTTTTTTTTCAAGGGCCTTCCCCAAGGTCTCACGTCGTCGGTTTGCAAGTGGCAGCCGCACGTGTCGCCGGCAGGTTTTGATGCGGATGCAGCAGCTGAATGGATTTTCCTATACTTGCTATGTTTCTAAAAGGGATGCCCTCTGGTAAACTAACATGGCTATGGAAAATCACCATTTTGAATGGGAAAATCAACGAACTAAATGGCAATTGTCAATAGCTATGCTAGTCATTACCAGAGGGTACTGGGATGCTAAATGATCTAAATGAACACAAACCCATCTGATGGGAGCAAAATTTACATGAAATTGATGAAGCAATCTTGATTACTGGGGGAAGAAACTGAAAACGTAAGAGGGGCACAATCTGCAGTGGATCTTCAGCTGGGAAAGTTTCGTATGGTCGCTTCCATTCTTTCAATGCAAAACCCAACCAGATGTCCCGTGGAGAAAATCAGCTCCTCCGAAGTTGGTCTTCTGTCGAATTGGAATCTTTCGAACGTCTGCACTTCTGCCGTGGTGAAAAACACACCATGCAACTCCATGAAAATACTGCCAGGAAGCCTATTGAACAAAACTGACATAAACTGACGGAAGTACTCCAAAATTGGGCGAAGCCAAAGCACTCCAGAAGTTGTCAATAGGGACAGGTGAAGAAAAGGATGCAAACAACCTCTGCTCAACGCAAATCTGAGTAGTTGAATACTGGTGGGACTGGATAGGAAACTGGAAAGATCTGGAAAGCCTCGACAAACACAGTCAAAGTAGGCACAAAAATTGCCCCAGAACCATCGCCTGAAGAAAGAGTAGCAATGTTAAGGAAGAAACATTGAACATAAATATGTTTAAAAAAGAAAACAGTATTGAACAATGAATGTAGATATTCAATTATTTTCAATAATATTCAGTTCATATATTCCCCAGAAGCATCCCTTTATATATATATATAGTCGGCCTGGAGCTCGGGATGGAGGTATTATGACATCTTGGAGGTGACGCCAAAGGCCAAGAAAGAAGACATCAAAGAAGCGTGCGCCGACCGAGTTGTTGATGTCAGATTAGTACAGATCTGTAAAGATCGTTAAAAGCCACTTGAAATGGGATCTGGTTGGTGGTTTGGAACATGAAAGTTATTTTCCCATATATTGGGAATAATCATCCCAACTGACTTTCATATGTTTCAGAGGGGTTGAAACCACCAACCAGGGATAGCTGAACCCGTTCAAAAAAAGAAGTTTGTGATATCAAAATGGATATTATTGGATTGAAATGGGATTAAACCATGGATGAAACCATCGATTTGTTCTTCTTTGTTTTAACCGACATATTGAAAGATATGGCGATATTGAATGATATTGATATATGCTCGATAAATGATGATAAATGGTTGGTTGGCCATTTGTGCGCGGAATATACAACTCTCTACATATTGAATACTATGATCAAATGAAAAGCAACCACTGTTTTTGTTCAAATTGGTCATTAACACTGCTCATAGCTGATGTAGTGATGCATATCACTTTGGGACCTGCGCCATACACAGTTATGTTACCCATGCTTTATCATATCTTATCATGATTTACCACCATTTCAATGCACTGGCGTCAGCCTACCGAACACACCACTCGACCTGTTCGATCTCTTCGGGGGTGCTGGTTTTCATGGTGGGTTGATATCGGAGAGACCATGAGACCATCATCAATGAACAAATCGTCGGATTCTTCCAGGACTATCCAGGCATGTTGCTAGGAATGCTTTTCCCTGGCGATGTCCCTGGATTGTCGGAGGATTTCCTATTACTTGAGGGTCGACCGAAAGAACCCGTCTGCGTTAGTGATTTCCGTTCGTACTTGAATTACTTTGCGAAGTTTCTTGCCAAGATAGACATAGCTTCACAATCATTTCACAATCAAAACATACCCAGACCATCCCAGACCCCACCTGAGGAATTCAGGAATTCTCAAACCAGGACAGTTCACCGCGATCCACAGATCCATGTCTTCGCCGTGCCCCATTTGGATCATCCCACCTGACCATCCCATGACCGGTGAAAACTCTCCGAGGTACAGACGCTTGGCAAAGAAGTACCACCCAGATCGCAACGTGGATGATCCGGAGGCCCCCTCCACATGGATCATCATGCATGACCTGGGGTGATGGTAGGAGGGTATCTCATGGCAGCCATACTCCGTTTTTCAATGGCTTTCCATAAATGGGGCTAGCCAATAGCTGGATGGGAAAAAAAATGGAAAATCCGAACATAATATGGATGATGACTGGGGGTACTCCCAATAGCTGGTTAGGATTGAGCCTCAGTGTCATTCCCATCAAGAAGCTAGCAAAATCACCAGGGAAACAGCGGCCACCAAACTCCGACAGGCGGAAACGCGCTTCAAAGAGGTTCAGGAAGCTCATGCTACGTCCCTGACCCCAGATCCCTGGCTGTGATGGAAACTGTCTTTGCTATCTTTGCTGTCTGCCCGGAATTGGGCATCACAAACTCTGATGGTTTACTTTAGTATAGGAATGACTTGTTCATTTGCTGTTTGCCAGGCCTGAAATTTGAACCACACCTGTATCGGACAATCATTTATTCTGATTTCGCTTTTATACAGGGGGAACGTCTACAGTAGACAGCAAAACAGGAGTTTGGAATTCCTCAGTGCAGCCGAACGGTGGTCAGGTTGAGTGATTCCTGGAAGAAAGCGCTCTACGACCAGGCAGGGTGAGTTTGCAAGGATTCGGATTGGAAATGATCAGCGAAAACATTCAAAAGACCACTTCGTTGATTGGAAATGACCATTCAGTGGAAAAGGTTTATTGCAAGAAGAAGCTTGGCAACTTGGACGTTGCATTCCTACAATTTGGTCAGGTTTAGCCCTTTGAAGGTATTTCTCCATGATAGTCCGTTCTATTTATCATTTGTTTCGAGAAATCCTCACCCCAGATTTCTCTGGTGGTTATTTCGTACAGACGTCAACTTGCCATCATCAGAAGTCTGCCTCAGCATTGCCCGCTGTGCATCCTGTCTAAATTCCAGGCCTGAAACCGTGTCAGCGTTGCCTGATTTGTTTGGTGCTTACAATTTCAGATGTTCAAATCAAGTCTCCATGACTCTCATGATTACATAGTCGACACCTACAAGAAGATACAAGAAGAAGAAAAAGAAGAAGAAGAAGAACAACAACAACAACACCAGCAGCAGCAGCAGCAGCAACAGCAACGGCAACAGCAGCAGCAGCAACAGCAACAGCAGCAACAGCAACAGCAGCAGCAGCAGCAACAGCAACAGCAACAACGACGACGACGACGGCGGCGGCGGCGACGACGACGACAATGACAATGACAATGACAGCAGCAGCAGCAGCAACAGCAACAACAACAGCAACAACAGCAACAACAACAAATTCAGGATGTAGCAATTTGGTTGTCAGACAAACACAGCAAAATTGAGGGGGACCAAAAATATCTTCAAAAGTTTGTCCATGTGTCACTTCTTTCACTATACCCCGCTCCCTGCTTGTCACGCAGGACCTGCAGTTCAGCAAGTTCGGGACCAACATGAGCCAACAGGCCTGGGGAAGATGGCACCGAGGGCACCGTTGTATACACAGTAGATTTGTCCAAAAATGGGTATGTCCAAATGGTATACCGCAAAAAAATGATAAAAAATGAACATGTTATTGTCGGGAACATAAAATCATAAAATATGTTCTCAAACTCTAAAACATCACAAAAAATGAGGGCAGTTCGTCATGACAAAGCAATTGTCCACATGATTCATGAAGGACGTCCGCTTGGGTCGTGGTTTTTGTATGTTTCTGTTGGAGGAGGTGGGTTGGATGTCGAATGCTGAGAGCCGGCATGCGAAGCGAAGATTGCATGCACTACTTGGTGGCTGATCCCACGAATTCTAAGTGGGTTATAACCCCAGTTATAAGTGGATTAGCCCTACTTATCCCATGTTTTTCACTGGGGTTATAACCCACTTACAATTCGTGGGTAGTTCGCCACCAAGTAGTGCGTTGTGTGAGTTGCAATTGATCTTCACCACGGATGATCACGGTTCTTGGGGAGCTTGAGTTTGGCAAAGAATCGACTTCAAAATCTGATCGCATATGATGGTTGAATATGGTTGAATATAACATATTATATAATTAATGTTAGTATTAGTGTTGATGTTGAATATGGTTAATAATGATCAACATGGTTGAATATACTCCAATCTCCCAAAAACTGACCATTTTCGAGGTCCATTGGCACCTTTTTAATTTGAGATCGGTAGATGAGCTCCAGGTGGATCGCGAGCAGTGGACACAACACTGGGAGAAGGACCGATCGGTGGAGCGATCCCGGCATATCCCAGCAGTCCAGATTCTACTGTAATGTTATGCTGGGATATGTCATTGACTGCTGGGATCATGTGTGATAATCCAATTCTAAGGTGTGTTTTTTAAAGTTGGATGCATGCCAAATTCTCTAGTTGGAGCTGACAGAAATCAATCCTAGTTCAAAGTGATAAACGATAAAATGTTGAACCATATTCAACCATATTCAACCTGAATATTGGCTCATTATTTAGATTCATTTCAAAGTTTCAATGAATATGGGTTTGTCTGAAAATGTTGGGTTAATCTTCCCAAACAAATCGCCATTTTTCATAGGGGATTTTATGATCTTGTCTGAAAATAGGGTATATTTCCAAACACATAGCCATTTTTCATAGGGATAATTTAATAATGATCAGCAAAACCATTGGGTACCTTTAGGGCTACACGACATTTTCAGACACACCCATATGGTTGTTGGTTACATGACCAGATCTCGTACCAAGGTCTTGCCCGGTTGAAGTAACCAGACTGACATCGTCCGAAAAAATCATTGAGTTTCAACCTCCTGGTTGGTGGTGACTGGAACATTGGTGAAATATATGGGTTAATGATGGTTAATGATGGTTAATAATGGTTAATAATGGTTAAGAATCACTGGTTGGTGGTGACTGGAACCATGAAATTTTAGTATTCTATAGTTTTCTACATTTCTACATCTATAGTTATCTATAATAATAATATCTGGTTGGTGGTTTGGAACCATGGAATTTTTATGATTTTCCATATATTGGGAATTTCATCATCCCAACTGACGAAGTCCATCATTTTTCAGAGGGGTAGGTATACCACCAAGCAGCCTCAATATGTGACAACTATATCAAGTATGCACTTAGTGACTTAGTGTAAGGATCGCCATTAGACCATTAGTATATATACCTGGGTAAATTTCATCACGACCGAACCCTGTTCTCCCGAAGCCTGGTTCATCATGGTTTATTTTAGGGGAATCATCCCCATTCATGGCCGAACTATTCAGGTTATCCCAGATGTTTAAAGTTTCAAATGCCACTGATGGCAAGGCTTCAGGGGATCCAGAGGGCCATGACAGTCAATCCAAATGGTTTTAATTTACCCAGATATGACCATTCTTCGTCCAGTTTTTTGGAAAACTGTTCGGAAAGGAGACGCCCGAGGAACGGCAAGCGCGAAAGGACCAGTCTTTGTGGATGTGCCAGTGACATCCATCCAGCATTGGTGGTGACTGGACCCATGGAATTTACCCGGCCTGGTAATGACTTACAAAAAGCGATTGAAGCCATGGCCCAGTCGAAATAGTGGAATTCCCCATGAAAAATGGTGGTTTTCCATAGTGAACCGTGAAAGTTTACCAGAGGGTATATGAATTTTATGACTTCCCCAAGAGTTGGGATGATCCCAATCTGACGAACTCCATGATTTTTCAGGGGTAGGTTGTAACCACCAAAAAAAGATGGTAAGAATTTGGATAAGAATGGTACGCAAGAACAAGGATTTCCTGCAACTTCTTCATGACATTTGGGCCTTTGGTGGTTCCAACCGCTCTTTTCTGGTCGCTATCTCTGACATCTCAGGAGCGCTACGAGCGCTATGCCAAGGGCGAGCGAAACGACCTGCCGAGGGACAAAACTCTCGGGTACTGGGCCTGGGATCTGATGCTGATGCTGGCAGTGATTCCGGGTAGTGAACGGTTACAGCATGGTCAAATGCAAATCTTTTGCTGATCTATTTGATTCTATTTGGCTTTTTCCTAAAATGGGGGTACCCCTAAAATCCCCTAAATCATGAATTTTAAATGGAATGGTCATTATAAACCAACCATTTGTGGGGAACCCTCGTTTCTGGAAACCCCCATACCTTTCCAAACTTGTTCTAGAGCTAAATTTCCTCCCAGAGTCTTTTGCAATGAGTGGCTTGATGCTGCATCATGTGGCGCTCGTGCCCGAGGTCAGTGCTATTCTGGTTGGTGGTTTGGAACATGGCTTTTATTGTTCCATATATTGGGAATAGTAACTCCAACTGACTAATATTTTTCAGAGGGGTAGGTATACCACCAACCAGTATTTAATTTAGAGCCTTTTTGTGGTCTTATGATTACCTTCTTGTGCTCAAGAACGGGTTATGAGGAGATATCGCAGACCACAACAATTCTCTGAGTGCCTGCCACTGTCATCCCAACACGTTCCTCAGGACCATTTGTATACCAACTTGTGGCCTCTGACGGTGCTCGGAAGCCTGGAGATATCTGGAGATGTATTTGGCATCATGTTCGGATGGTTTTGTGCCAAAGGCTTCAACAGGTGAAAGTTATAGCAGTTGGATGGACTGAAAATGCATACGCTCAACCCATGGGGTTATATCATATCATATTACAATATATCAGGTGTTTTTTCCAATGCTTTTGTCAAAGGAAACTCCGTGTAAAAGACATCAAGGGGTAAGGCATAAAAAGCTTGGAAGATGTTGGAAGTGGAATCGTCAGGAATGTCGGATTAGCATTGTGGATCCCTCTGGTAAACATACAAAAAACTACTGGGAAAATCACCATGCTATTAATGGGACAACTCACTATAACTGGGGTATTTTCAATAGATTTTTGATGTTTACCAGGCCGGGTATAGAAAATGACCCATCCAGAGATGATTCACAAAAAAAAATGGCTATTTTCAATAGCAAACTATTAAATATGGTTACCCTCTGGTGAACTAACAGTTTGCTATGGAAAATCACCATGCTATTAATGGGAAAATCCACTATTTCTATGGCCATTTTCAATAGCTATATGTTAGTCATTACCAGGGGGTAAACCTCCATTTTCCTATGGCTTTCCTATGGTTTTCCTATGGTTTACCTAGGATTTCTATGGGTTTTCCTATGGTTTTCCTACGGTTTTCCTATGGTTTTTGTCATTACCAGAGGGTAGCCACATTGGATCATCCCACGAGTCACCAGGGCCTTGGTTCTTGGCGGCACCTTCTACCTCTGCGTCAAGGCCATGGCGGAGCATGGCGGAGCATGGTGGAGCACGGGCCATGTCAGGGCTGGTTTCATTTAAGGTGCAACAACAATGGTGTCTCATTTACATATATTTATATAGAAATATATAATGAAATATATAGCTTATAACATTAGAAAGATTGTCTACACACATTTTCGTGCCAAGAACTGGTGGGGTGTTTTTTTCCCTATCCCTATCGCATCTATCCCTATACGTTCCTGTTTTTTGGGCAAAGTGAATTATTTTTTGACCCAAGTGACCGAGCAATTTTGAAGCACCAGCCTGCGATGTTTGTTGAGAAATCCAGCTGGAAATCATCAGGATGATCCAACAGGAAATCCACATTCGGAGATTCATTTTATGAATTCATTTCATGAATTCCAATGTGTCAAGCATTTTGATGTTCCGGCAATTCACCAATTTTTTCCGGCAGATCACTTGAAATTGGCTACCCTCTGGTAAACTTTCACATAACTATGGAAAACCACAATTTTTCATGGGTAAATCCACTATAAATCACCATGTTCAATAGCTATGTTAGTCATTACCAGAGGGTATCTTTTTCATGCCAGGCGCCTGAATGGTTTGACTCGGACCCACATTACTGCGATCCCATGCACAATGACAAAAGCGTGGCTTGGCCAACTCGGTCTGGGAGGTCAACGTCCCAGCCTGCTTGGTGGCGAACTACCCACGGCTTGTAAGTGGGTTATAACCCCAGTGATTTACATGGGATTTTTTGTAGGGTTAATCCACTTATAACTGGGGTGAACTAACCCACTTACGAGCAATGGGATGAGCCACCAAGTGGTTCCTAGCTATCGGGAACAGCATTTGGAAAAAGCTGTACATTTTCTAAGGGCGATTTACCATTGCCAGGTTAGATTCGGTCGGATGCCTTCAAGACCGGATTTACACCCTCAGTCTACATGTGCCACTCAGAGCATATTTTGGGCTGCAACTTTTCCGCATCACCTATGGTCGTGCTATAGTACTCCTTTTCTAGCAGTATTTCTTTTCATGCTTTAAAGTTGGAAAAGTCTCCAGCAAAAAGGGACTCTTCTATCTTTCGTGGGCACGTTCCTTAGGGGAATACACTCAAAGCTTGGTACGAACACAGTCTATTTCTACTTTGCTTTGTGTACATCGCAATATATTGCTGTTAACTCATAGTTGGTATTGAGAATCCCATGTTTCCATACTGATTCTACATGTGTGTTAACACATATTTCTCAATTCTGTGGATCCTTATTGGCCTTAGTTGTTGCGTCAATATATGAGCACTGGCCGTAGATATTGATCTACTCCGCTGGTTTGATCCCCAACTTTCGTAACAGAAATCTTCAGACATTGAAAAAGGTCATTTGCTGGTCATGGCCAAAAAATTGTCTGGCTTATAAATCCCCACACTATACTGGTGGTTTGGAACATGATTTTTATTTTTTATATTGGGAATAATCATCATCCCAACTGACGAACTCATATGTTTCAGAGGGGTAGGTATACCACCAACCATCTATAGCCTCTGGTAAACATACAAAAAACGATTGAAAATCACCCTGCTATTCATGGGTAAATCAACGAACTTTCTATGGTTGGTGACAATGATGATTGAGGGGATAATCCCCAACTACTGGTGCGTTTTAGGTAGGGAATTTTCGGGAATGATCCATAATAGTAATGTCATCATCCCAGCAACCCCCAGCAACCCATCCAGCCACCCTGCGTATCCCTGCGTAAAACGCAGCAGTAAGTCATGATCCCTTTTTTTATGTTGGAGGTCAAAAGCCTCATTTTCCATCAGGGTAGGTATACCATGGTATACCACCAACCAGATCCAACCAGTATATCCCTAATGTCCAGAGGTTTTTCTGTTGTCACCATGGGAATCACCAGGTGCCATTGGTGAGAGCTTTCCATGATCCAGTGCGAGATCGATGGGAGCGACTTCCAGAGGCGACATGACGCCAGAAAGCTAGATTTATTACATTTAAGCAGAAAAAAATGGGGTGCTATGCTGCTATAACTAGAATATATGTGAATATACTGAGTTGTACTGTGTACTATTATAGTACTATTGGTTATACACTGTACCATTATATAATTGTAACTATATATATATACCAGTATGTGTTGGTACAATATATGAATATATAGAATGTACACAATGTATACTATATATACTGCATATATACAAATGTATTGCAAAGGGGAGATAAAAATGGCTTGCCTAAAAATGGGAAGTGCATCCATTCGAGCCAGCGGAATGCTGCGTGACTGAGATCTGGATTGCTCCAGATGGATTGTAGATTCTTGATTCTTTGGATGAACCCGTTTGATATTCTTAATGCGGACCGAAAACTTGTTGAAGATTTTAAGAATGTTTAAGGCTCTTGTCATTTGATATCATGGTCATTTTGAACTACCCTCTGGTAAACTTTCACATAACTATGGAAAATCACCATGTTCAATGGGCAAATCCACTATGTCTATCACCATTTTCAATAGCTTTCTGTTTGTTTACCGGAGGGTAAGTGTAACCATGGCGGCCTTTTCCATCCGCATCGCCACGCCCCGTTCAGGGCCGAGAAGCGCCCACGCCGCGGCAGTTGTACGCTTACTATCAGAAGGCCGCAGAGGGCTGCCTACCTGGTGGCCAGGTTTTGGTGCTTCAAATGGAGCCCAAAACCTAGGTTTCCTTGGATGGAAAACATCACCCCATTTTTAAAGACATTGGCCCATTGAATATTGTAAGACAAAACGATATGTAATGTAGTCATATTCTGGTTGGTGGTTTGGAACATGTTTTATTTTCCCCAATAGTTGGGATGATGATCCAATCTGACTAATATGCTTCAGAGGGGTTGAAACCACCAAGCAGTATTGTAAAATGAGTTAAATGGGACATATAGTTGTGTCTTACCTTAACAATATGTTGGAAATTTAGTTTTGATGTTTGCGTGCAATGTAGGCATCTTGTTTGTTGCACTGGGATGTAACATATCGCCAGCTACATATTCAAGAGGAATACAACCCATCGAGAGTTCTTATGAATCTCCCCTAGTTGCCATATTTTATATTTTATCTGAGTTGAATTTCCTCAGGATGTGAATCATATTATCTTTACAGTATACCAACTTTCGGTATCAGTGTGGCATCAGCTTCACTTGACTCATGTGGCGTCATGAGCGAGCTACATCCTGGAGGTGAAACCTGAGTTGTTGGAAGATGTCGATATCCGCTTCTTACCCAAGGTGCACCGATCATCTGAGCTGTGTTTCGGACGCTCCATTTTTTGTGGAGACAGGTATGGCAGGACCATTGACAATTACCTGGTTGCTGGTTTGGAACATGGCTTTTATTTTCCATTTCATATTTGGGATGTCATCCTTCCCATTGACGAACTCATATTTTTCAGAGGGATTGAAACCACCAAGCAGTTATTTTCTTTTGAATTAGTTCTGGCTGAATGTCATAGACTATATCTTCTAATATATCCTACATATATGTACCAAACGAGTATCGTAGTATTAACCCACCAATGATACATAATAGACTTATATAAAAATGTGAGACTCACAACTCACAATTATTTAGAGGTCGTTTTCCCATGTTTGGGCAAGTCCAAGCTAGTTGGTTTATAAGCTAGTTGAGGGGGATGGTATGACACCTAAAATGGATGTTCTGAGCTGACCTATGTGTATAGATATATATATGTATGTATGTATGTATGTATGTATATGTATATGTATATTGTGTATATACACATGTATATATAATATATATATATCCACAGACTGCCACAGACCCTTTTTTTTTGGCAAGTCCAAGCTAGTTGGTCGGTCTAGGCTAGTTGAGGGGGATGGTATGACACCTCATTGATGTTCTGAGCTGACCTATGTGTATATAGATATATATATATATATATAGATATATATATATACTGTGTATACATATATATATCCACAGACTGCCACAGACCCTTGTTGGGCAGTCCTTTGGTGACTCTGTTGTGGACCATAAATCCATAGCGACAACCAACCACTCTTCACCGATCGTTTCCTCGCAAGGTCAATCTGACGGCAAGGGGACCAAGTTCGAGGATGCCATGCGGACGGAACTGCGGGATTGTTTTTTGCATGTGAAATAATCAAATATCTTCCCACTTATGATACACATATATGTATATATATACTGTATATATCCGCACACTCTAAAGTAACCCACGCGCTACTGGTAATCTGAAGCGTCTTGAGTCATGTCTAAAACCCGCTGTGGCTCACGTCTCACGGTTAGGTCCTTAATGTGCCAAAGACGAACGCGGTCCGCCCGGCAAATCACCGTTTCATGGGATGTTCCATTGCCATGTCAGAAATTACCAGGCGGTAAATTGGTATAAGATCATTAACCCTCTGGTTATTTAACATAGCCATGGAAAAATCCCTTATAAATGGAGGTTTTAATGGGAATATCATCTATAAATGGGTCATCTATTCCATAGCTATGTTAAATAACCAGAGGGTATATATAATTATGATATATAATATATTGACTACAATGGTTGGTGGTTTCAAGGGGGCTTTGTCTGAGAATGGGGTACCCCAATATTGGCCCAGGGTTTATCCATGTTTATCATCATTTTCCCATTATATAAATGGTATAATATATATATATACATATATATATATATGGCTAATTTCTGGGTATACTATATTATACCGTATACCCGATTCTAGACAAACCCATACATGAAGATGCAAAAAAAAACTGTTTCCACTGAAGATCTGATTTGACGAAAAGTCATTTGGAAAGCCCAGCAATGTTCATGCAGAGTCGAACATCCCCACATTCTCAAAGCTTGATACTATTACCCTCTGGTTATTTAACATAGCTATGGAAAATGGCACCATTTATAGATGATTTATGATGATTTACCTATTAAAAGTGGTGATTTCCCATAGCTACGGATAGCTACAGTAAATACCCAGAGGGTACATGGATTGTTCGGCAACTTTTCCTCGGGTCAAACGGCAGTGGCGTGGCTTCAGATGCACAAACCAAGGACTACGAATGACGGGGATGGTTGCAGTATGTTGCTGTATATTTTTTAAATACTGTAGGCACTAGTTATTAGGGTATAACTCACTAGTATAAGTCACTAGTTATTAGGGTATAGCTCTTTTTTTTTGAATGGAGATCATATTTAGGGTACTAGTGACTTATTTGAAACGGTTCAAAAATAGACAAAACACATCCACTATGTGTGACTCTAAATCACTCTAAATCCACTCCTACCTTTGGATGATGACCCAATATTCCATAATATTCCAATCATTTATATATGATTATATATATGTATAATATAATATGATATATAATATATTGACTACAATGGTTGGTGGTTTAATTTAGACATGTTTTTCACCACCACAGAGATCTACTCATCGACCCGTGGCGTTAGGCACGCCACGTGCGCCAGGCAAAGCCGACGTTTCCGTTTGGTATCATGGCTGGATGAGGTCCCTGGTTGGAAATGCTGGAAACTCACCATGTCTACTGAAAGAGGTAATGATGAATGGAATGGGCCAGTTTCCATGGCAAAATGTTGGCCAGATAATTTTCGGGTGAAGCTATCGATTTATAGATGGTTATATGTATAACCTATCTATCGATTTATAGATGGTTATAAAATGTTATAAATATCCCACATTAATCCCATATTAATCCTATATTAAACCCTTGGAGGGCAACAAAAGCCCAGGTTTTCATCGTGTCGTACCCCAGGTGACCTGACGCAAGCTCGCGTTGCAAAAACGTCGCGTGGCAAAAGATTCGCGGCGCGGCGGCGCGCGTTGGCGAAACGGTGACCTTGAAGGATGGTGGGGCCAGAACTGGATCAATTCTTTAGTCTAGGATATGGTCTACATTATGGTAGATATATGGTAGAATATGGAGTAGATATATGGTAATAGAATATGGTCTAGAATATGGTCTAGAATATGGTCTAGAATATGGTAGATTGCGGTCTAGAATATGGTAGATTATGGATGCTTATGGTAGAATCTGATAGATATATCGAACGAACGAATGAAGGGTTACCAACTTACAGCTGGGCCACCTTCGAGCTGATTTCATCTGATTTCTGATTCGGGAATATTTGGGACTGCAATTACCCTCTGGTAATTTAACATAGCTATGGAAAATCACCATTTTTCATGGGAAAATCCACTATTTCTATGGCCATGGCTTCAATAACTATGTTAAGTTACCAGAGGGTATCCCGGAGAGGGCCTCATGATTTGAACGCCTTCTTTGAAGGTTAGGCCTTTTTGTTTGGCTCTCAGCGGGGGAATGGAGAGGTTTTCTAGGATTTTCCCAGGTGTTTTAAGCAGTTGTTCTATCCGACTTTGGCTGGGGTTGCTACACATTGATGCTACCCCCCAAATGGTTGATCCAGAATGTTCCCAATGAATTTTCAACAACCATTTTGGAGGTATAGTCTATGTTTAGACACACCCATATAGTAGATGTACGATTAATATAGTTGGCATGTCCATGCAAGATCATGCAAGATAATCGCCTGGTGTTTAATAGTAAGTTCTCTTATTCAGTGTTGTCATTCATTCTGGTGGATAGAATAGGATTGTGCCAAAACTACATGCATTTTATGGGCATGTGTCCAATTTCCGTGTGCAATGACCCAAAAGATGGTCCAATAGGATTACATCTCACCATCTCCGTCCATATCCGTGGCTGGCGCCTGTCGAGTAGAGACAAAACATGCAGAGTGACCGATGGAAGTGGGAAAACCATTGGCATCTCAACTTGTGTTGGAATCCAAAGGCGGGATGGTCAATCACAGCACCGCAAAAAAACGATGTGATCGCAGTCGGTTTTAGCCCAATAATCTATTACAGTCATGAGATTTTCTTGCAACAAAGATTATCTCACATGTTCAACTTGCACACTTCCTATGAAATTGCAAGGATTAAGTCTACTAGTTCTATACTAGTTTCCAAAAAAGATTGCCGCTTGGTCTCCTTTTAGCCGTTTGGGCGGCTCGTAGCCATGGCGAGCAGTGAGGTGGGGGCTGGGTGGCCATGGCGGCCATGTGGGTTTGTTTGACATTTGGGTTATATATGTGGAAATTTTGTGGGAAAAATCAAAAGAAATAAGGGGTGTCCTATTTTGGAAAAAACCCTGCGTATGCTTTCCAAAAGACCCTGACTGAGGTAGCAACTCACTGAGTATCCCAAAGAAAGATATGACATGGCCATGTGTTGTTTCTTAACATATATCAGCAGGGTATGGTGTCCGCAATCAACAGTGAAACAACAGCGGCTGTCATTGGTACTATGTTACCACGTCAGCCCTGAAAAGTATCGACTAACATAGTTTTGGGGTATTATAAAGATATTGCTCTTTTTGGGAAAGATAACATAGTTTTCTTTTGTTGTATCTCATTTTGAATCCAATTATCCCCTAAGTATCTCATTTTGAATCCAAGTTTGATTTGTTTCTTAGTTTTCGGAAAGACTTTTCGAAGCCTTTTGAAATCCCAATTCCTTTTACCCTCTGGTAAACTATGGAAGATCACCATGTTCAATAGGTAAAT